TAATTCCTTTTGGGTTGGCTTAGGAATAGGAATTCTTGTAAACTAGGTTTAATCCCTTAAACTAGTATATAACATACTTTTCTCTTGTTATGGGTGTGAGAACAATTCATTCATTGTAAACGAGAGAAGTGAGGCATATTGAAATAATATTGACTCCTGGACGTAGCCTACATTGGGTGACCCGGTAAAATCCGCGTATTACTTTCTTTGTTTACTGTTGTTTTGTTTAACTATTTATTTTGTTCCTGTTGCTTCTCTATTTTGTTCACCCCTAACTCATATATAATAACATCAGCTACTCCACTTCTAACACTTGTTTATCCCTCGTTGTTATGATTTCTACTTTTTGGGCTCAACTGATTAAGATTTCCGATCAATTTTTCTATTTGCAGTAAAATGTCACATCATCAAAACAATGAGAACCTTCTTTTTTTCAAATATTGTAACGTTGAGTCTGTATCGAGATTAGATTTTTATACTAAAATTGTGGAAAGAAGTTCTTGTTTCAAGTGAGTTAATCTGCATATTTCTCACACTCTTCCCTAACATTTTCAGCAAAATAAGATCCTTCAAAATTACGACAGATTTCGTTGAATACAACACGGGCAATAGTTGTCTTGCCAATACCACCTATGCCCAAAATTCCTATTACGGAAACACCATTTGATCCTGTTCAACAAAGACTTTATTTCCTCTTTTAAAAATTTATTTCCAACCAGACCTTAATCAGTTGGAGACAATTTATTTAGTCTTTTCAAAATGTCGCCTGAAATTTTATCAATAAATCAGCTTCATACCTAGTAAATAGAAAGAAATAAAAAACAAAGATTATTACTTAGGATAAGTAAATCAAATAAGACAAACAAAGAAATATTCTTTTTTAGTCACTAAAAATTATCCAAAAGAAAAATATAGGTTCTTCCTCCATTCTTGAACGTGGGAATAAATTCTTCAGTTAATAAAATCATCACTTAAAAAAAAAAAAACTGTTAATTTCATTTGTTGGTAAAAGAAAAAAACATTGTAATTCTTGGGGACTAAAAGGAAAGAAGATGACAAAAACCAATACAAACATTTTAAAAAGGGATCTTGTTAGATGTAAATTCCGCGATCAATAAAATAAATTCACATAATTTCTCTGTTAAAAAATAATTATGTTTAGTTAGGCTTAATTCAAATCGGTTGCGTGAAAATATTTAATTCACCGAAAAATAATATTTTAACTAAGTAATATGATGAGTAACAAATTATATCAGATTAACACTTACGTTTCTGCATTTATAGTCCAACCAGATACCAGCTGCTTTATTCAACGCGCCCTTCCATCTTTTCAGCATCTCCGGTTCTTCCTTAAAACGGTCTTGAAGTTCAGCAAATCCCTTCTCAAAACTCCCTGTTTGGTTTCTTACATGAGATGGGTCTACATGATAGAAAATTGGTATAACATCTGCTGCTCCTTCCATGCAATCAAGAATCTGTTCAAGTTCTTGGAGACACCATCTTGAAGACCCATACTTTTGTGAGAAAATGATTATAGAAATCTTTGATCTTAATTGTATTCAAAAGAGCTGATGAAATCTCATCTCCTCTAACATCCTTATCAATGAAAGTTGCATTCCCTTGCGACACAAAGCCGCATGAGATGGCTTGTAAATTTATAGCGGTTGTCTTCGCCCTGAAACTAAGAAAGACATCATAGTTCTTCAATTGGAGTGGCTGAAGATGAAGAAGCAGCCATCCAACTCCACTGATGAAAGACTTTTTAATCTGTTTAAGTTTGTAGACAATCTATGTAAGAGAAACCTACCAGGGCGATTTAATTAATGGCAAGGGGGGACCACGGCCCCCACTTAATATTCATTAGCATCATGAGTGATACAAGAAGACACTCATAAAGATCGATGTTAAACATAAATATGTGTCATTATGATGCTAACGGTGCTGCTAAACTTGCTATCAGCGATGGTCACCGTGACTGTCACCAACAATAGTCGTGGATGTTTGTTGACATTTACAATCCGAGAGCGCGAAAAAACTTCAATAATTTCTCAAAATTTTCCTTTTTCTTCTCAGACTTTTCAAAGAAAACTAAAGAGGAAATAGTACCGAAAATACCATAACCCTTCCCAGAACCTATCTCAAGTTGCGTAGGCTTCTTTCTTTCTCGACTTTGACTGAATAATTGTAGAACCTGATCTAAAGTTGTGTGGCCTTCTTTCTTGACTTTGACTTAATAATTGTATACCCTAAGGCGGCAGCACTAATGCGTGCTATAGTTAACGGTACCCTCAGGTACAATACCATACTCACTATTTTGATTTATAAAAACAAAGCGCATGTGTTGGCTTATTATTATTATCCATATTCTCAATCCTATTCTTCAAATAATATTTGACATATTATTCCAAAAATATTATCTTTTTTTAATTATTTTTAGATCCTAAAAGATTATTAATTTCATTAAATACCCCCTGAAAAAAGTTTAAAAATTAATAAAAATACCCCTATGACCCATACTTGCCAAATTCCGGCAACCACCGTCGGTGGTAGCCAAAATCTGCCACAACGGTGAATTACCGACCGAAACTGAATGGTAATTCAACGATCTGGCCTTTTTCGACCAGATCCACTATGGATCTAGCCGGAAAATACCAGATCTGGCTGTCAGCGACAGCCAAAGATATGGCCGTCATTGACGGTCAACGACGACCATATCTTTGGCCGTCGTTTTGGCCTTTTCCGGCCGTCGACGGCCACGACAAGCCTTAGATCTGGTCTTTTCCAGCCAAATCCGTGGTGGATCTGACCGGAAAACGCCATAATAACGCGTTACAACACAGGTAACGCGATTTTTCGACCAGATTCCGGCGGTGGTGGCCGGAATCTGGCAATGTAGGTGGTGGAGGTATTTTTGTCATTTTACATATTGGGGTATTTATTAAATTAGTAAACTTAAGGGTTTTTTTTATAAATTTTTAAATTTTACCTCGTAATACTCCCATATTCAATTATCCAATACTATCCCTAAAATCCTATCCAAAATAATAAACCTAACGCACCCTAAAATGTTTTAATATTCATATTTTCATGAATATTTACATTAATTAATTAATTTCTTATTTTTTTAATTATGCAATGATGAGTATTATAATATAATTGATTTCGAATTAATTTCACTTGTACATCTTAACTAATCTTTGAAGGCCATTGAACACCTTATGCCCCAAAAATCACAATGTAATTCCTTTGCAGAGTCATGTACGTTGGAGAAATTAAGAGTCTAATAAACTTTTTATCTTTAAAATATAAATTAAAAATGAGTTTGACTTTTCACATTTAGAGAATTGAATTTTATTTTTTATCTTAATTTTAATTAATAGACTAACCTATTAAATCTCTTTCATTAAAGTTAAAGAATTTATTGAATTTAAATAAAAATTATATTTTTTATATTTTAAAATTAATAAAAAATACCCTTTTATTTGTATAAAAGATACCCCTGATAATAAAACTCTATTGGAGATGTTCCCACAATAGGGTCATATCTCTTGCATTATTTCCTGGTACAGCTGTGCACGTTGGAAATGACTGTAAACAAACGGCAGTAGTGGTCCTGGTGGCGGGCCATACCTCTTGCTTAATTTCCTTTCAGAAGACTTTTCAATTTGAATTTACTGGCAATTTTGCTTACTTTCTAATAGTTGGGGTAGCTTATGAAATTCGAATTATGTCTTAAACAAATTATATAAATGCAAAATTTTGTAAACTTCAAAAATAATTTTATATTAACAATCATTTAATTAAACGAATGATTTAACATATTCCATTTAAAAAGGGGAAACAGTAGGAAAAATAAGAAGAAGAAAAAAACAGTCAAGGGGTAATTATGTCATTTTACCCTACATTATAAAAAAAAAAAAAAAAAAAACCTAGACTACTTCTCCCATCTTTTTCTTCTTCATCTCACCCTCCTCCTCCTCCTTCCATCTTCATTTTGCCGCCGTCTCAAGTGGAAATTGAAGGTCTATTGCCCAATCAATCAATAGGCCCGATCATCCTCAAAAATCATCAAATTGAAACCAAATCGGCGAAAAAAACTAACTCAGTGGCGGCGGTAGGAAGTGGGTCTCGGTCGACAAAAAAGGGGATACCAAGTGTCGGGGTTAGGGGGTTTTGTAGAAGTCGGTGGTTTTAATGGTGAAGTTTGATTGACTAGAGTTTGGCTTAGAACAACAAAATCCTAAATTTGCGCTTGTCGATGAACGGTTGAAAAAGAGGCCTGGGAACATTGAGGGTTTTGATCAATGAAGGTCGGGGAAGTTGGTGGTGGGGTAGGGAAAGTCCAACAATGCCGGATTTCGGTCAAATCGAGCCAAAGTTGGGGGCGCACATGGCTGCTAAAATTGGATGACAGGCCAAATCTGGCCCAAAAAAAGGGGTCGATGAGGCAAGAGCGCTATGCAAACAGGCTTGGAGTGATGGATTCCGTCGGTTTTGGCAAACAATCTGATTGGATTTAGCACAATCGGTCGGCAGTGAAAGGTGAGTTAAAAGAAAGCCAACTTTTTTGTAGTAGTGGTTCTAGTGGCAGGCATGGAGCTGGTGGAGGTCCAGGTATAGGTGGTGCCATTCAGGTGGAATTGCACCAGCTAACCGAATAAGATCTGGGATTTGGATTCGAAGAGGAAAGTGTATTTTCGTCATTATCATTAAATTATATTATCGCTTACCAGGAATTGTTGATACGTGTCAATTTTTAATCTATGATGACTTTAAATAATAATATAAAACCAGTAATGCACATTAGCAAAAACAAAAACTTTTGACTACTATTAATTTATTGGAACAATTTATCTCAAAACCTTCAATACTCAAAATAATTAAATTATATTATCGCTTACCAGGAATTGTTGATACGTGTTATTCTCTTACATTTAACATAATTTCATATTCCAATATTACACATTATTTTACGTAATTTACAGCCCCACTAGTTCCCTCTAAAGTCCAACAAAATGCAAAATCAACCCCATCAAAACTGCAACAGCAGCACCCGAACCCAAAGCACATGGAGCACCAGAATCAGCTGGCCCTGGCCCTGGCGCTGCCGCTGTATTCCTACTATCCTCCTCACCTTTAGCAGGTGCTGGAGGTGGCGCCTTACGAGTCATCGGAGACGGTGCCGGTGCCTTTTTTTAGGGAGAAGGAGGTGGAAGAGTAGTATACAGTGCAGGTGAACTAATTACAGGCGCTACAATACTTTGACTAATTTGTAGCACAGAAATATCATATGGCTCGGCATATACAGATTTCACAAACCTAGCCGCAAGCGGTGAATCTTTCACTTCTGAGCCGAACAAAATATTATTACCTGACACTGTAACATTCAAGAACCCTTGTCCCTGTTGAGCTACACCAGATGCCTGTAACAATGTAGTCATAGTTGTTGTCTTGTTTGGTAGATTTTTATGTTTATTTTGGTCAATGTAATCAAGAAGAACATGGTTCGTCAATATTCTTTGAACTTCATCTTTAGATTTGCCTTAAAGAGATCCCACAGCTCCATTATCCAAAGCAAGAATTGTAAGGCTTGAGCGGCTGTTGATCGTTTCAGCAAGTCCACTCTGCGATAGAAGGTTATTAAAGGAACCAAATCAGAGGCATTGCTAACGATCTTGGTGATGTTGAACGCATTTGCTAAGCTTGAAGTGAATAAAAAACACAAGGAGCAAGGGCTCGGAGACTCATCTTTTAATTAATTTTGATTTTTTTCAACTTCCATTAATCATCTTTTGAGATATCAGTGGAATTAACTTCAGTTCTATTGATATTTTTATCATCAAGATGCCTTGACAAACATCCTTCCACTTGTTAAATACTCTGTTTCTTTTTCTCCCAAACACAATTCCACTTTCTTTTTCCACAATACTTTTCTCTTCCTTTTATCCTCATACTCAAATCTCTTAGTTCAATTTCTTCAAAGTAATGGACATTTGATACCAGCAAGTGTTCTTAACTAAGAGGCCACAGCCAATTCATAGATCATCACCTTCATCTGTAAACACAAAATCATTAACGTTGTCTACAAAATCCTCAGACCATTGCTCCCACATAGGACAATAATAGCTCAATTTTACAGTAAATCTCAAGTCAACTACTAAAACTAATGCTAGAATCTATAAACATGATTGCAACAAATTCTAAATTCACAAACAAAAGCTTTCTAAATTGTAAAACAAGCAACGTCATCAATCGGCTACAGAAGTCTAAATCAGAATAAGTAAAAATTTCAGTTACATCTTTCTAACATACCACGATAAATTTGTGTGAGAAAATATATCACATTGGATAGTATAATATATCATTTCCCTTACATGAATGTTGTAAATATTACACAATCATCAGATTCCAAAAGTATATGTGTATTTAATCGAAAAATGATATAAGCAAAATGCCCTTATTGAGTCCAAAAATGGGGGAAGATAAAAATAAAACTAGAAACTTTAAACAAAGAAAAATTAATAGAAGAATATAATAAATGGGTTTCATTAAACATTGAATTCATCATTCTGACACTAGGGCAAGCTGTAAAAAGTAAAAACCCGATATTTACCTATGTACACAAAACACCCTCTTCTAATATAATTCTCAAGTAATAATCTGAAACCATAAAATGATGGAAGCATGTAGTTGTTAGTGGGACTCCGCCATGGAACAACTAGAGCCCCTTTCAACTACAGCATCAATGATAGGAAAAATCTACTCTATATGAGGGAGTAGAGCCTCCAAGAAGAAGATATACAAAAGAGGGTTTTTAAATCAAAAGAATTGGCCTCCTTTTTCATTAATTCCCATAAGTTTAAATAAACCTAATATACAAATTGTTGACTTACTAAAAAGTCGTTCGAAACAACACACAACTTAATATAAACATTACTAAATAGCAGCTACTCCATAAAAAGGTCTGTTAAAGAAAACCAATCTTCCTACTTGCTAACAACATAATCTTTGGATCATCCAGGCAACTTTCGAATACTCCTCAAAGGCTCCCTTCGCTACATATCCTGTTGTACATTCGCAACAGCCTCGGCCACATGTCTGTCAGCCATCTAAAAATATTTGTAACCTGAGAATTAATATGAGAATTTTCTCCAACTAACCCCATTCATTAAAAGGAAAAAGAATGATTATAAGAGAATTTGATTGCCCTCTTGCAGAAAAGACCATAGGAACTGAACTAGATAGTAGCATACTTGTTTCATGACATAAATTCACTGGAAATCTTATAGAAGTCACAAACATAAAGATACACAGCAAAGTCAATTAATTATCAGGCAATCCTGTCCTACCTGCAAATCTGCAATAGTATCACCATTTGACCAACAAGAGGCAGCAGCTGCTCGGTTGTCATGTTAGTTTATAAAGGAATGAGGGCTGCGCTCCCTTCGACGCTTCACATTCTGGTCCTCCTGAATGTAGCTCCTCAATCTTTGCTGTGCTTAAAAATAAAATACTAAAATTTCTTTAAACTAACAAATAAATTAACTAATTGTTCCTTACCAAAAAAAAAGTACAATGTTTTTAAAAGGAAATAATATTTATTTGTGAGTTATTTTAATCTTATAAAAATAAAAACTCTTTTACTCTAATACTAGAGTGAAATCATATGAGTGCCAAAGTTTCTTTTCTTAACTTTAGGAGGAAAGATCTATTAAGAAGATGTTAGATTAAGAATTTAAGTCTATTTTTCACATTGCGTTAGCTAGTGAAAAGATAATTCCAATACATACTTTGATTACAATAACATTTGATACATTTTGATCCAATAACATGAATGAATTAAGATGATGTCTGCAAATAATATCCAAAAATAACAATATACATAATTTCATATTCAAAGTAGTTCTCTAATTTAAAAATAGATAATTAATAGTTTCACTACTATTACCAGAAAACAATGCAGCATCCACGTACGGGATACATATAACCAATTCTTCTCATCAGAATAAATATTCTTTCAACTTGTTCACCTATTGAACAATAAAAAACATAATTAGTTAATTAACTTATGATATGTAAATCTTGATTACGGTCAATCACTTCCACATAAATAATATAGAGCAAAATTAGATATATAGAACTAAGAAGTAATTTAGAGTTAGGACTTACTAGTAAATTCAGAAAACAGAAGCACGAGATAGGCTGAGGTTCATCACTTGTGGGTTGTGGTAAATTATCTATGGATGCAATAAAATCTTGAGGAAATTCGTTCAAATCCAAAGTAGTAAGTCTACTAGATGTACCATCACGGCTACTTGAAATGCCACAATATTGTTGTTCTTCATCACGATAGTCAATTCGGTTAATTGTGGCAACATTCACCGTTGGCTCAACAATATCTTGAGGGAGTTCATTCAAACCCAGAGAAGTAAAGCTACTAAATTGCCTATCATATGTGGTGGAAACACCACAAGATTTTTGTTCCTCATCGCAACAACCACTTCTGTTTATTGTCGCAACATTCACCATTGATTCAACACAATTTTCAGGGGATTGATTCAAATCCAGTAAAATACCACAAGATTGTGGTTCATCATCACAGCAGGTACTTCTATTTGACTGTACCACATTAGAGTCAGCATAGCTCGGCTTAATTGTAGCACTATTCACTGCTGGTCCAATAGAAAGTTTAAGTGGACTACAAAATAAAGCATAAAGAAAAAATTAGAAATATCCCAACACAACTCAAGCCTTTCAATCCGTATAGATACCGAACTAAATTAATGAATAATAGAAATATCCCAAACTAATCTTACACATAAGAGCATTTGAACCTAAGCATAAGTTCTACACCATATATATGATTTTGGATCCAAATTGTATTTTATATCAATTCTACTAAAGCTAAAAATAGTGCATTGAACCGAAACATATGATTTTGCATAAACTAAACTTAAACATAACAATGTCTCTGCTTGATTTATTAATTTATGATTCAAGAAGTTTTATGATTAAGGTAAGTTATTTTCTCTTTGAGTGATTCTCTCATTTTTATTTTAGAGCTATTGTCATTTTGAGAAATTTTTTTCTTCAAAATTTACTGAAATTGAGCACTAGTTATAAAAAAATATTGTAAAGCCCAAACAAGCCATTACCATTGTTAAATTTAAGAGGAAGATTTTTCACCCAAAAAAATAAAATTAAGAGGAGGAGAAAAATACTCTAAACCCCTTGAGGTATCCCCAAAATTAATCCCCTGTTGACTGTTGTTTGTCCAACGATTTATAGTTACTTTTAAAAGAAGAGGGGTAAAAGAATAAATTCAATTTAATTTAAAAAATAAGAAATAAAATCTAAAATAAAAAACCTAAACCTTGAATTAAAAAAAAGTTAAAATGCCCATCTCAACTCTCTCTTACCCCGCGGCATCTGTCTCTCTCCCCTACTCAACCCAGCCACCGTCGCCTCCCACCCCCATCTCCATTGCGCCTGCCCTAAACCCTCACTCTGTCCACACATCACAACCCCCCACGTCGACCTAGCCACCGTGTTGGACTCGCCTACCATAAGCAAGCTGCTAAGGTTGCGCCCTTCTACAGCCCAGCCCGTAACCCCCACTCCGTTGTTGCCCCCAATGTCCATGATTTTTGTTGTCTTTGAATGGGTTAGCTGCTCATGTGTTTCTGTAGCCCATTCTTTGTTTTGTTTTCTGAATATGTTTTTGTGGGATGAGATTCTTCCAAGTTTGCTTTGTTCTTGTTCATATCAATGGTGAACATTTTGTTGTGCTAGAGATTTTGTTGTTGCATTGATTGGTGATTGAGTGTGTTTTTTGGTTTGTGTTTTAGAATTTTGATTTCATATGTTACTTTGAATTTTTTTTTATGTTTGTTGAAAAGGAGGGCCAGATTTTGAACTTTTTAATTTTTTAATGATTTAAATTATTTACTTTTTGGGTATTTGGATTTGATTATAGGGTTATATTATATTAATAGAAAGAATGATTACTTTAAATATTATTGAAAATATTTAAAAAATGTGTTTGATTGATTTGAATAAACTAGTGAATAATATGTTTGATTTTAAGGAAAATAGATGGGTATTTTATATAAATTATTAAATTATCTTTATTTTTAAATATTAGTATAATAGTATTTTTTATTATTATTTTTTGAATCATTTTTTTAATCTCATACATTTGAAATTTTGTTTAAACACCTAAGTTATCTAAAACTTTAATTTATAGTAAAATCACCCCTATCCACCCTAAGCCACTACCGACAGCCAGCCACCATTGTCGGAAGTCTACGAAATAGTGCATGACTGATCGTATATGGTCGGTTGTGCGTCGACAAAGTCGAAAAAGACCTTACTGGTGCACGATTGGCCAGATCCTGCCGATTGTGCACCATTACGGTGATTGACGCCGGCGATGGTCTTAGGTGGATGGGGTATTTTGTTAACTTCTAAATTTTTTTATGGTTGGAGTGTTTTAACTAATTTCTCAAATTAGGGGAGTTGGATAATTATTATTTGGTAGATATTCGAGAACAATTGTATCTGAAATGGTTTTTAATTAAGGGTAATATAAGAAGAAAAATCACGTTATCCCGGTAATGTTTAAATAACACTCCCTAACAAGGTAATAAGATTATCCCCCACATTACCATAGTAACCGCTATTTGTAATAAAAGATTACCGTAATATTTTATTACTTACAAACCAAACACAGAAATCTTGTAAAACAAACAAATATTACCCTTGTTATCTTATTTACCCTTAATCCAAACAACCCCTCAATGTTTTCTAGAAGCTTCCTTGGCCACTTTATTCTTTAATAACATTTTCATTGTTTTGATGTATTCATGTGCCTAATGAATTTAACAACAAAATGTCTTTCTTTATATTAAAATTGAAAATATATTCTTAAAAATATAAATTTAAATTATATACTTTTAAGAATCCCATAATCATATTCCATTAACGGAAAAATAAATTAGGAAAATAAAAACAAATCATATAATTAAAATGAGGTGTAGGAGGAAAACTTACTCATTTTCGTAGTTGCATATTTTCAATTTCTTGGAGCCTGGTTCAGTTGTATCAATCACCGTTGAATGCTGTTCATCTTTCTCTTTCTCTTTTCTTTTCTTTTTAGCACCGTCAACACTTGTTCTGAATGTTTTCAATGGTTCTCCATAATTTCCAACGTACAATAAATGGATCCCACATTTTTTTATATCCATCATATCAGAATCAAATTTGATGAGCACTTTTCTATTCGAAATTTGATCATCTTTTGAATCAATTTGATCATCTTCTGAATCGCACAGTTCAAACGCCTCTTTCATTACAGAATGGAATGATATATGATCTGACAGTAAATCACTCTGACAAAATCTACAAAGCTCCTCATACTTAAGATCAGTGTCCTTAAACTTAAGTTTATTACGATAAAGTTGCTCCTTACCATCTTCGCTTTTGACCAAGCATTTGCAAGTAATGCGATAATCTCGAAAAAATTCAACCTCTTCTTCACAATCAAAAACAACACATGTCAAAAAACCTATGAAATTTTTATCATGCCAATCTAGTGACTGATCAAGAGATATAGAAGATCCAGTATTTTGAAAGTCAAACCACTTAGGAATTTCATTTCCAGGGAAATAGATATTCGCACAAAATTCTCGACAAGATCCCTATACCAATGCAAATGAAAATTATCACTCATAACATAGTTTAAGTTTTAGATTTTATTTTTTCTTTTCTGTTACTTTTAAAAAACAACTAACATCATAAAACAGAAGAAAGGATCGAAAGAGATACCTCATGAAGAATTTTAGGAACTTCATTCCCAAGGAAACAAATATTAGCACAAAAGTCTCCATAATATCCCTGTACCAATCAAAATGAAAATCATCACATCATAACATAGTTTTAGTTTTAGATTTTGTTTTTCCTTTTCTATTACCTTTTAAAAAACAACTAACATCATAAAAAAGGATAAAGGATCAAAAGAGGTACCTCATAAATAATTTTAGGTAAATCCAATTTGAAGCAATTGGCAAAAGTTGTTATCCGTGGTCTCCAATAAGGTAACAATAGAAATGATGGATCTGATATTGATTCCAAGGATAAGCAGTCAGATGCTACCACACTTACACCCATTGGAAGCTTTGGCAAAACTTGAAGTCTTGGACAATTACTTATGTCTAGGAAGTACAAGTTAGAAAGCCATTTGATGTTTTCTGGTATGCGCTCAAAATTATTTCCCCTTAGAGATAACGTTTCTAGAAAGGATAATTGTCCAAGATTGTCAGGTAATTTGGTCATTTGACAATTATCCAAATAAAGTTCTATCAAAGAGCTCGAACCTGATGAACAATTCAATACCCAATTCAAAGGTGCCGGTTCATCAACATCTCGACTTAGGTCTAAACATTCAAGGTTTGGCAAGTTTAAAATGGATGATGTTACTTCTTTTAAGACTGTATTTTCACATGAGAGATTCTCCAAAGCTTCCAAATCTCCAAAGTCATCGGGTAATCTTTCCAATTTGGAGCACCATTGAAGATTAAGCACTTTGAGAAATTTCAACTTACAGATGCTGCTTGAAAGATTCTCAAGCGATGAACATCCTTGAAGATCCAACTCAACTAGTCCAGATGGATGTTCGATGAAGGGTGATTCTTTTATTGCAGTATCCTCTAATTTTAAAATTTTCACCTTACATGAGATCTTTGGAGCTATCTTGAGAGCAAAGCAGCAACTGAGATCTATAGAATTTGCTTGAATGCCATCTGGTAAGCTAATAAGCCTTGAGCAAAAGCTTAGATCCAACTCGACAAGCTTATCGAGATTTTGAATAGAAGAGGGAATAATCTCCAACAAACTTGAACAACCTTCTAAAATCAATTTCTTAAGATTTGAGGACTTTGAGAGATTTGGAATCTCTATCATGTGTCTGGAGAAACTGAGATCAACATATTTCAAATTTATAAGATTCTGTAAGAAAACAAACAAAATGACCAACTCAAGTTAGTGCCTTGTATTTTTATAATCTTCAACAAAGAGACCACCATATAAATACCAAAATATATACATACCTGAACACCATTCCAATGCTTAACTTTGCTATGATACATTTCAAGTGTAACAAGACTCTCTGAAGGAAAACTTAATGGCAATGATTCATATGGGTAATTATTCCAACTGAAGAATGTTATGCCATCGGGAAAGGATTCAACTTCTTCAAAACCATCCAACTTATTTTCATACCTCATCGCAACAAACATTCTGTTTATTGTGCAACATTACCCATTGATTCAACACAATCTTCAGGGGATTGATTCAAATCCAGTAAAATAACACAAGATTGTGGTTCATCATCACAGCAGGTACTTCTATGACGTACCACATTAGAGTCAGCATAGCTCGGCTTAATTGTAGCACTACACTGCTGGTCCAATAGAAAGTTTAAGTGGACTACAAAATAAAGCATAAAGAAAAAATTAGAAATATCCCAACACAAATCAAGCTTCAATCGTATAGATACCGAACTAAATTAATGAATAATAGAAATATCCCAAACTAATCTTACACATAAGAGCATTTGAACCGAAGCATAAGTTCTACACCATATATGATTTTGGATCCAAATTGTATTTTTATCAATTCTACTAAAGCTAAAAATAGTGCATTGAACCGAAACATATGATTTTGCATAAACTAAACTTAAACAAAACAATGTCTCTGCTTGATTATTAATTTATGATTCAAGAAGTTTTATGATTAAGGTAAGTTATTTCTCTTTGAGTGAGCTCTCATTTTTATTTTAGAGCTATTGTCATTTTGAGAATTTTTTTTCAAATTTACTGAAATTGAGCACTGGTATAAAAATATTGTAAAGCCCAAACAAGCCATTACCATTGTTTAAATTTAAGAGGAAGATTTTCACCCCAAAAAATAAAATTAAGAGGAGGAGAAAATACTCTAAACCCCTTGAGGTATCCAAAATTAATCCCCTGTTGACTGTCGTTTGTCCAACGATTATAGTACTTAAAAGAAGAGGGGTAAAAGAATAAATTCAATTAATTTAAAAATAAGAAATAAAATCTAAAATAAAAAACCTAAACCTTTAATTAAAAAAAAGTTAAAATGCCCATCTCAACTCTTCTTACCCCGCGGCACTGTCTCTCTCCCCTACTCAACCCAGCCACCGTCGCTCCCACCCCCATCTCCATTGCGCCTGCCCTAAACCCTCACTCTGCCACACATCACAACCCCCCACGTGACCTAGCCACCGGTTGGACTCGCCTACCATAAGCAAGCTGCTAAGGTTGCGCCCTTCTACAGCCCAGCCCGTAACCCCACTCCGTTGTTGCCCCCATGTCCATGATTTTGTGTCTTGAATGGGTTAGCTGCTCATGTGTTTCTGTAGCCCATTCTTTGTTTGTGTTTTGAAATGTTTTTTGTGGATGAGATTCTTCCAAGTTTGCTTTGTTCTTGTTCATATCAATGGTGAACATTTTGTTGTGCTAGAGATTTTGTTGTTGCATTGATTGGTGATTGAGTGTTTTTTTGGTTTGTGTTTAGAATTTTGATTTCATATGTTACTTGGAATTTTTTTATGTTTGTTGAAAAGGAGGGCCAGATTTGAACTTTTTAATTTTTTAATGATTTAAAATATTTACTTTTTGGTATTTGGATTTGATAGGGTTATATTATATTAATAGAAAGAATGATTACTTTAAATTTATGAAATATTTAAAAAATGTGTTTGATTGATTTGAATAAAATAGTGAATAATATGTTTGATTTAAGGAAAATAGATGGTATTATATAATTATTAATTATCTTTATTTTTAAATATTAGTATAATATATTTTTTTATATTATTTTTTGAATATTTTTTAATCTCATACATTTGAAATTTGTTAAACACCTAAGTTATCTAAAACTTAATTATGTAAAATCACCCCTATCCACCCTAAGCCACTACCGACAGCCAGCCACCATTGTCGGAAGTCTACGAAATAGTGCATGACTGATCGTATATGGTCGGTGTGCGTCGACAAAGTCGAAAAAGACCTTACTGGTGCACGATTGGCCAGATCCTGCCGATTGTGCACCATTACGGTGATGACGCCGGCGATGGTCTTGGGTGGATGGGGTATTTTGTTAACTTCTAAATTTTTTATGGTTGGAGTGTTTAACTAATTCTCAAATTAGGGGAGTTGGATAATTATTATTTGGTAGATATTCGAGAACAATTGTATTGAAATGGTTTAATTAGGGTAATAGAAGAGAAAAAATCACGTTATCCCGGTAATGTTTAAAAACACTCCCTAACAAGGTAATAAGATTATCCCCACATTACCATAGTAACGCTATTTGTAATAAAAGATTACCGTAATATTTTATCTACAACCAAAACAACAAATCTTGTAAACAAACAAATATTACCCTTGTTATCTTATTTACTAATCCATCAGTTTTATTGATATTTTTATCATCAAGATGCCTTGACAATCATCCTTTCACTTGTTAAATACTCTGTTTCTTTTTCTCCCAAACACAATTCCACTTTGTTTTTCCACACTACTTTTCTCTTCCTTTTATCCTCATACTCAAATCTCTTAGTTCAATTTCTTCAAAGTAATGGACAATTGATACCAGCAAGTGTTCTCAACTAAGAGGCCACAGCCAATTCATAGATCATCACCTTCATCTTTAAACACAAAATCATTAACATTGCTTACAAAATCCTCAGACCATTGCTCCCACATAGGACAATAATAGCTCAATTTTACAGTAAATCTCAAGTCAACTACTAAAACTAATGCTAGAATCTATAAACATGATTGCAATAAATTCCAAATTCACAAACAAAAGCTTCCTAAATTGTAAAACAAGCAACTTCATCAACCAACAATAAAAGTATGTGTGTATTTAATCGAAAAATGATATCAGCAAAATACCCCTATTGGGTCCGAAAATGGGGGAAGATTCAAATAAAACTAGAAACTTTAAACAGAGAAAAATGAATAGAAGAATATAATAAATGGGTTTCAATAAACATTGAATTCATCATTCTGACACTAGGGCAAGCCGTAAAAACCCGATATTTACCTATGTACACAAAACACCCTCTTCTAATATAATTCTCAAGTAATAATCTGAAACCATAAAATGATGGAAGCATGGAGTGGTTAGTGGGACTCCGGCATGGAACGAATAGAGCCCCTCTCAACGACAGCACCAATGATAGGAAAAATCTACTCTATACGAGGGAGTAGAGCCTCCAAGAAGAAGATATACAAAAAAAGGTTTTTTTAATCAAAAGAATTGGCCTCCTTTTTCATTAATTCCCATAAGTTTAAATAAACCTAATATACAAATTGTTGACTTACTAAAAAGTCGTTCGAAACAACACACAACTTAATATAAATATTACTAAATAGCAGCTACTCCATAAAAAGGTCTGTTAAAGAAAACCAATCTTCCTACTTGCTCACAACATAATCTTTGGATCATCCAGGCAACTTTCGAATACTCCTCAAAGGCTCCCTTCGCTACATATCCTGTTGCACATTCGTAACAGCCTCAGCCACTAAAAATTCAGTGAATATTTGTAACCTGAGAATTTTCTCCAACTTTTAAAAGGAAAAAGAATGATTATAAGAGAATATGATTGCCCTCTTGCAGAAAAGACCATAGGAACAGAACTAGATAGTAGCATACTTGTTTCATGACATAAATTCATTGGAAATCTTATAGAAGTCACAAACATAAAGATACACAGCAAAGTCAATCAATTATCAGGCAATCCTGTCCTACCTGCAACAGTATCACCATTTGACCAACAACAGGCAGCAGCTGCTCGGTTGGCATGTTAGTTTAGAAAGGAATGAGGACTGCGCTCCCTTCTACGCTTCACATTCTGGTCCTCCTGAATGTAGCTCCTCAATCTTTGGTGTGCTTAAAAATAAAATACTAAAATTTCTTTAAACTAACAAATAAATTAACTAATTGTACCTTACCAAAAAAAAAAAGTACAATGTTTTTAAAAGGAAATAATATTTATTTGTGAGTTATTTTAATCTTATAAAAATAAAAACTCTTTTACTCTAATACTAGAGTGAAATCATATGAGTGCCAAAGTTTCTTTTCTTAACTTTAGGAGGAAAGATCTATTAAGAAGATGTTAGATTAAGAATTTAAGTCTATTTTTCACATTGCTTTAGGAGTGAAAAAATAATTCCAATACATACTTTGATTAAAATAACATTTGATACATATTGATCCAATAACATGAATGAATTAAGATGATGTCTGCAAATAATATCCAAAAATAACAATATACATATTTTCATATTCAAAGTAGTTCTCTAAATTGAAAATAGATAATTAATAAATGACAACTTAAAATTATAGTTTCACTATTACCAGAAAACAATGTAGCATCCTCGTACACGATACATATAACCAATTCTTCTCATCGGAATAAATATTCTTTCAACTTGTTTACCGATTGAACAATAAAGAACATAATTAGTTAATTAACTTATGATAGGTAAATCTTGATTACGGTCAATCACTTCCACATAAATAATATAGAGCAAAATTAGGTATATAGAACTAAGAAGTAATTTAGAGTCAAGACTTACTAGTATATGTATAAAACAAAAGCATGAGATAGGTTGAGGTTCATCACTTGTGGGTTGCGGCTACATTCTCCATGGATGCAATAAAATCTTGAGGAAATTCATTCAAATCCAAAGTAGTAAGTCTACTAGATGTACCATCGCAGCTACTTGAAATGCCACAATATTGTTGTTCTTCATCACGATAGTCAATTCGGTTAATTGTGGCAACATTCACCGTTGGCTCAACAATATCTTGAGGGAGTTCATTCAAACCCAGAGAAGTAAAGCTACTAAATTGCCTATCATATGTGGTGGAAACACCACAAGATTTTTGTTCCTCATCGCAACAACCACTTCTGTTTATTGTCGCAACATTCACCATTGATTCAACACAATCTTCAGGGGATTGATTCAAATCCAGTAAAATACCACAAGATTGTGGTTCATCATCACAGCAGGTACTTCTATTTGACTGTACCACATTAGAGTCAGCATAGCTCGGCTTAATTGTAGCACTATTCACTGCTGGTCCAATAGAAAGTTTAAGTGGACTACAAAATAAAGCATAAAGAAAAAATTAGAAATATCCCAACACAACTCAAGCCTTTCAATCCGTATAGATACCGAACTAAATTAATGAATAATAGAAATATCCCAAACTAATCTTACACATAAGAGCATTTGAACCTAAGCATAAGTTCTACACCATATATATGATTTTGGATCCAAATTGTATTTTATATCAATTCTACTAAAGCTAAAAATAGTGCATTGAACCGAAACATATGATTTTGCATAAACTAAACTTAAACAAAACAATGTCTCTGCTTGATTTATTAATTTATGATTCAAGAAGTTTTATGATTAAGGTAAGTTATTTTCTCTTTGAGTGATTCTCCCATTTTTATTTTAGAGCTATTGTCATTTTGAGAATTTTTTTTTCACAATTTACTGAAATTGAGCACTAGTTATAAAAAAATATTGTAAAGCCCAAACAAGCCATTACCATTGTTAAATTTAAGAGGAAGATTTTTCACCCCCAAAAAAAAAATTAAGAGGAAGAGAAAATTACTCTAAACCCCTTGAGGTATCCCCAAAATTAATCCCCTGTTGACTGTTGTTTGTCCAACGATTTATAGTTATTTTTAGAGGGGTAAAAGAATAAATTCAATCTAATTTAAAAAATAAGAAATAAAATCTAAAATAAAAAACCTAAACCTTGAATTAAAAAAAAGTTAAAATGCACATCTCAACTCTCTCCTACCCCGCGGCATCTGTCTCTCTCCCCTACTCAACCCAGCCATCGTCGCCTCCCACCCCCATCTCCATTGCGCCTGCCCTAAACCCTCACTCTGTCCACACATCGCAACCCCCCATGTCGACCTAGCCACCATGTTGGACTCTCCTACCATAAGCAAGCCGCTAAGGTTGCGCCCTTCCACACCCCAGCCCGTAACCGCCAACTCCGTTGCACGTTGTTGCATCCAATGTCCATGATTTTTGTTGTCTTTGAATAGGTTTAGCTGCTGATGAGTTTCTGTAGCCCATTCTTTGTTTTGTTTTCTGAATATGTTTTTGTGGGATGAGATTCTTCCAAGTTTGCTTTGTTCTTGTTCATATCAATGGTGAACATTTTGTTATGCTAAAGATTTTGTTGTTGCATTGATTGGTGATTGAGTGTTTTATTGTTTTTATTATTTTGGGAACAAAAGTGTTTTTTCGGTTTGAGTTTTAGAATTTTGATTTCATATGTTGGAATTTTTTTGATGTTTGTTGAAAAGGAGGGCCAGATTTTGTAACTTTTTAATTTTTTTAATGATTTAAATTATTTACTCTTTTGGGTCATTTCCATGCGTATAATATTTTATTATAAGAGTATATTATAATAACCGAAAGAAAGATCAGTTTGAAGATTACTGAAAATATTTAGAAAACATGTTTAATTGGTTCAAATAAATTGATAAATAATATGTTTGATTTGGAGGATAAATTGATAGATATGTTATATAGATTACTAAATTACTCTCATTTTTAAATATTAATATAATAGCATTTTTTATTATTATTTTTTGAATCATTCTTTTAATCTCATACATTTAAAATTTTGCTAAAACACCCCAATCATATAAAACTTTAATTTGTAGCAAAATCACCTCCACTCACCCTAAGCCACTATCGACAGCCAGTCACCACCACTAGAAGTCTACAAAATGGCACACGATTGGCCGTATATGGCCGACTGTGCATCGACAAAGTCAGAAAAGGCTTTACCAGTGCATGACCGGCCAGATCCCGTCAGTCATGTACCATTACGGTGACTGACGTCGGCAGTCGACGGTGGTCTTGGGTGGCTAGGGTATTTTGTTAACTTTTAAACTTTTTTGTAGCTGAGGTGTTTTAGCTAATTTCTCAAATTAGGTGGACTGGATATTATTATTTGGTAGACATTTGAGGACAATTGTATACGAAATGATTTTTAATTAAGGGCAAAATGGGAAGAAAAATCACATTATCTCGGTAATATTTTAATAACACCCTCTAACAAGGTAATAAGATTACTCTCCACATTACCATCAGTAACCATTATTTATAATAAAAGATTACCGTAATATTTTATTACTTACAAACCAAACACAGGAATCTTGCAAAACAAACGAATATTACGCTCGTTATCTTATTTACCCCCGATCCAAACGACCCCTCAAAGTTTTCTAGAAGCTTCCTTGGCCACTTTATTCTTAAATAACATTTTCATTAATTTGATGTATTCATGCGCCCAATGAATTTAACAACAAAATATATTTCTTTATACTAAAATTGAAAATATATTCTTAAAAATATTTATTTAAATTATATATTTTTAAGAATCCCATAATCGTATTCCATTAACGGAAAAATGAATTAGGAAAATAAAAACTAATCATATAATTAAAATGAGGTGTAGGAGGAAAACTTACTATTTTCGTAGTTGCATATTTTCAATTTCTTGGAGTCTGGTTCAGTTGTATCAATCACCGTTGATTGCTGTTCATCTTTCTCTTTTCCTTTCTTTTTAGCACTGTCAACACTTGTTCCGGATGTTTTCGATGGTTCCCCATAATTTTCAACATACAATAAATGGATCCCACATTTTTTTATCTCCATCCGGAAAGCATCAAATTTGATGAGCACTTTTCTATTCGAAATTTGATCATCTTCTGAATCAATTTGATCATCTTCTGAATCACACACTTCAAACGTCTCTTTCATTACAGAACAGAATAATACATGATCTGACGAGATATCACCCGGACAAAAACTATCGAGCTCCTCGGCACTAAGATCATAGTCCATAATATAATCAAGTGCACTGTCATTACGATAAAGTTGCTCCTTACCATCTTCGCTTTTGACCAAGCAGCTGTAGGTAACGCAATAATCTTCAAAAATGTCAACCTTTACTTGACGATCAAAAACAACATATGTCAAAAAACCTATAAAGTTTTTATCATGCCAATCTGGTGACTGATCAAGAGATATAGAAGATCCAGTATTTTGAAAGGTAAACCACTTAGGAATTTCATTTCCAGGGAAACAAATAGTAGCACAAAATTCTCGACAAGATCCCTGTACCAATGCAAATGAAAATCATCACTCATAACATAGTTTAAGTTTTAGATTTTCTTTTTTCTTTTCTATTACTTTAAAAAACAACTAACATCATAAAACAGAAGAAATGATCAAAAGAGATACCTCATGGAGAATTTTAGGAAATTCATTCCCAGGGAAACAAATATTAGCACAAAATTCTCCATAATATCCCTGTACCAATCAAAATGAAAATCATCACATCATAACATGGTTTTAGACTTTTAGTTTTAGATTTTGTTTTTCCTTTTCTATTACCTTTTAAAAAACAATTAACATCATAAAAAAGAATAAAGGATCAAAAGAGGTACCTCATAAATAATTTTAGGTAAATCCAATTTGAAGCAATTGACAAAAGTTGTTATCCGTGATCTCCAATAAGGTAATAATAGAAATGATGGATCTGATATTGATTCCAAGGATGAGCAGTCAGATGCTACCACATTTACACCCATTGGAAGCTTTGGCAAAACTTGAAGTCTCGAACAATGACTTATGTCTAGGAAGCACAAGTTAGAAAGCCGTTTGATGTTTTCTGGTAGGCGCTCAAAATTATTTCCACTTAGATATAACTCTTTTAGAAAAGATAATTGTCCAAGATTGCCAGGTAATTTGGTCATTTGACAATTATCCAAATAAAGTGATATCAAAGAGCTCGAACCTGATGAACAATTCAATACCCAATTCAAAGGTGCCGGTTCATCAACATATCGACTTAGGTCTAAACATTCAAGGTTTGGCAAGTGTAAAATGGATGATGGTACTTCTTTTAAGACTGTCATTTCACATGAGAGATACTCCAAAGCTTTCAAATCTCCAAAGTCATCGGGTAATCTTTCCAATTTGGAGCATGAGTAAAGATTAAGCACTTTGAGAAATTTCAACTTACAGATGCTGCTTGAAAGATTCTCAAGCAATGAACATCCTTTAAGATCCAACTCAACTAGTCCAGATGGATGTTCGATGAAGGGTAATTCTTTTATTGCAGTTGACATTAATTTTAAAATTTTCACCTTACATGAGATCTTTGGAGCTATCTTGAGATCATGACAGAAACTGAGATTTATAGAATTTGATTGAATGCCATCTGGTAAGCTAATAAACCTTGAGCAATAGCTTAGATCCAACTCGACAAGCTTATTGAGATTTTGAATAGAAGAGGGAATGATCTCCAACAAACTTGAACAACCTCTTAAAATCAATTTCTTAAGATTTGAGGACTTTGAGAGATTTGGAATCTCTATCATGTGTCTGGAGAAACTGAGATTAACATATTTCAAATTTATAAGATTCTGTAAGAGAACAAACAAAATGACCAACTCAAGTTAGTGCCTTGTATTTTTATAATCTTCAACAAAGAGACCACCATATAAATACCAAAATACATACATACCTGAACACCGTTCCAATGCTTAACTTTGCTATAACGCATATCAAGTGTAACAAGACTCTCTGAAGGAAAACTTAATGGCAATGATTCATAAGGGTAATCATTCCAACCGAAGAATGTTATGTCATTGGGAAAGGATTCAACTTCTTCAAAACCATCCAACTTATTTTCATAACTATCTCGGCGTTCTGGGTTGTCTTCTCCCAAAAATATTGCATGAAGTTCTATGGAATCATCCAACCTATTTTCATAATTATCTTGGCATTCTGAGTTGTATACTTTGAAGAATGTTAAGTTATCCATCCTTGACAAAACATTACAATATAAGCGTGGATTGCTGATTTTAGATATGTCTAACTTTATGCATCGTATTGCTTCAGTTCCCTACAGTCAACAGAGATGATCAGTTGGCATACAAGATACTTCCATTAAATCAAACTAATTAAAAATACTCTAATGAACAGAAACATTGAGCTAACTAAAACAAATAAAGATTACATATTTCAGCATCATAGAATAAAATAAATAGAAAATAACAATAATTCGATAAGATAATAATAACAACAAAAACAAAAACAATAATAATATTAGTTTTTGAAAAGTAAGACGTACTATGTATACGAAAGATAAAAACATATATATAATATATTTCTTTTTGATGTTTTTATGCTTTCTTTGAATCAAAGACGTGTTATTTTATATAAAATCTGAACTAGGAGAGTGAGACTACATGAAAGGAAATAACTAATTGTATAACAATAAACAATTTACAAAAAGAAAAAAATGTAAATATAGAAGCTTCAGCTTTTAAGGAAATAAAATATAATATGATAATATTTTTTTTTTTTTTTTTGGCAAACCTATGGTAGGAGGAAAACTTCATTAGAAAGAAAATAATAATAAAATAATAATAAAAAAAGGATTCCGATATCTCATTAATATCCTTAAAAGACACTAATTTAAAATTCCTGGAAATGTAAGCTCACTCTCAAAGCATCTATCTATTATAAATAGTATAGCTAACCCTTACCTTGTATTTTAAATACTTTCAAGATATCCTCGTGATGCATAATTTCATTAGAAAGAAAATAATAATAATAATAATAATAAAAAAAGGATTCCATGAATCTATCATTAGATATCCTTAAACTAGACACTAATTTAAAATTCCTGTAAAAATGTAAGCTCACTCTCAAAGCTATCTATCTATTTATAAATATGTATAGCTAACCCTTACCTTGTATTTTTTAAATACTTTCAAGATATCCTCGTGATGCCATAATCGAATGTCTTTGTGATATTGAGCAATTTTCTTACCCATTTCTTGAAGCAAATCATGCATTGTTATTTTATTATACTCTGTCTTAGACACAAGACACTTATCAATAAGAACTTCTATCCTGCAACCATTTAGGGTTTCTTTCACTAAATCTTCATATTCCCCTTTGAAGAAACATGCAATATCTAAAAATAAAACCTTCTCCACGTCATCTAGTCCATCATAGCTAATTTTTAAGACATTCTGAATATCTGTTAGAGGGCCTTTTTCTAGATTACTTATTGCACTTTCCCAAAAAAATTCTCCCTTGGAAAACAAATAGGAACCCAACACTTTAAGAGCCAATGGAACGCCTTTGGAATATGCTACTACTTTGTTTGATAGCTCAATAAAATCTTCAGTAGGAGAGTCTAGTTTAAAGGCATATTTATTAAAAAGTTGATGAGCTTCCTTCTCATGTAATCCCCCAACCTCGTATATATCAGCACCAGCTACTCCACAACTTCTTAACACTTGTTTATCCCTCGTTGTTATGATAATTCTACTTCCTGGGCTCAATTGATTAAGATTTCCGATCAATGCTTCTATTTGCAGTGAAGATGTCACATCATCAAAAACAATAAGAACCTTCTTTTTTTGAACCATTGTAAAGTTGAGACCTATATCAAGATTAGGATCTTTATTATCTAATATTGTGGAAACAAGTTTTTGTTTCAAGTGAGTTAAGCTACTATTTTTCTCCCACTCTTCCCTAACATTTTCAGCAAAATAGGATCCTTCAAAATTACGACAGATTTCGTCGAATACAACACGAGTAATAGTTGTCTTGCCAATACCACCTATGCCCAAAATTCCTATTACGGAAACACCATTTGATCCCTTGTTCAACAAAGACTTTATTTCCTCTTTTAAAATTTTTACTCCAACCAGACCTTTATAATCAGTTGGAGACAATTTATTTAGTCTTTTCAAAATGTCGCCTGAAATTTCTTCAGTAAGATCAGCTTCATACCTAGTAAATAGAAAGAAATAAAAAACAAACATTAATTACTTAGGATAAGTAAATCAAAATAAGACAAACAAAGAAACAACTCTTGTTTATGTCACTAAAAAATTATCCAAAAAGAAAAATTATAGGGCTCTTCCTCAATTCTTGAACATGGGAATAAATTTCTTCAGTTAATAAAATCATCACTTTTAAGAAAAAACCATTAATTTGATTAGTTGGTAAAAAAAAAATTGTAATTCTTGGGGACTAAAAGGAAAGAACATGACAAAAACCAATACAAACATTTTAAAAAACGGATCTTATCGGATGTATAAATTCCTGCGATCAATAAAATAAATTCACATAATTTCTCTGTTAAAAAATAATTATGTTTGGTTAGGCTTAATTCAAATCGGTTGCGAGAAAATATTTAATTCACCGAAAAATAATATTTTAACTATATCAGATTAACACTTACGTTTCTGCATTTATAGTCCAACCAGATAGATCAGCTGCTTTATTCAACGCGTCCTTCCATCTTTTCAGCATCTCCGGTTCTTCCTTAAAACGGTCTTGAAGTTCAGCAAATCCCTTCTCAAAACTCCCTGTTTGGTTTCTTACATGAGATGGGTCTACATGATAGAAAATTGGTATTACAATCTGCTTCTCCTCCGATTCCATGCAATTAAGAATCTGTTCAAGTTCTTGGAGACACCATCTTGAAGACCCATAGTTTTGTGAGAAAATGATTATAGAAATCTTCGATGCTTTAATTGTATTCAAAAGAGCTGATGAAATCTTATCTCCTCTTATCAGATCCTTATCAATGAAAGCTGCAATCCCTTTGCGACACAAAGCCACATGGAGATGGCTTGTAAAATTATTGCGGGTGTCTTCACCTCTAAAACTAAGAAAGACATCATAGTTCTTCAATTGAGGAGTGGCTGAAGATGAAGAAGCAGCCATCCAACTCCACTGATGAAAGACTTTTCAGATCTGTTTAAGTTTGTAGACAATCTATGAATAAGAGAAAACCTACTTGAAAAATAAATTAAAGTTATTTTAATCTAATTGATTTTTGAATTAATTTCAATGTAATTCCCCTGCAAAATGTTGCATAATGTACAAATGCATTTGAGATATGGAAAACCATTTCATTATTGAATCAAAAGGCCAAAAACAAGGAATCTACTCCAAAACATTATGAAGGAGTTTTTAAGTATTAATGATTTTGTGCTTAAAATGAGAAGCTATGCTGATTCTCTCTCTGCAAGTGGAATAACACTTACAAAAGAAGAATTGATAGCTTACATATTAGAAGTCTTATGTTTAATAATTTACCCCATCAGTAAAATTATTCGTACCACAAACTGATGTAGCATGCACGTCAGTGCCATATGGTATGTGAGTCCACATGGTATTGATGAAACAATGTGTCTCCATGCCACGTGGTGTTGATGTGGCATGCTATGGAGCTTGCATAAACTCTCTTAAATATAAATGGCTTTACTCTTTCTTTTTTTTATTTTTTCAAATATTATTTTAATTTAAAGTAATACTATACATACAACATTTTTCATATAACCTGATATGACAAAAAATGATTAGGTAAAAGTTTATTTTGATTGAAAATCAATCAATCATATTTTGTCACGTCAAGTTGTATGAGAAATGTTATATATATAGTATTCTGTTATAATCTAATATAAAATGATTGAACACTTCATTAATATCCCTAAAAAATGATTTGTTTTAAAAGTAAATAATAAAATTAAAATGACATATAAACAATTACTAAAAACAAAAACAAAAACAAAAAAATTCTTTATGAATTTGTTAAAGAAAATAGAGAAAAGAGTTAAAGTTTTTTTTTTTTTTATTATTATTATTATTACTTCTTAATTATAAATTAAAAAACATGATATTACATTTTAATTATCTAAAAATTAAAAGACAAGTGAAAAGTACTAAAAAAATTTACAAAACTAAAACGAGGCACTTACTTTTTAGTTAGCCCTAGAAGTTCAAATCTGCACTTGAGCTACTGGAAATTGAATATCAACACTGCTTCGATAGACTATGAAATCAAGAATAAAAAAAAAAAATGTTCAACTTGTTTGAAACATGGGTGCGTCAGTTTCGTAAAATTATAAAATAAAAATAGAAAGAGAGAAAAATAATAGATATAAAAAATATTAAAATAATTAAATATTTCATAAATATCTCTAAAAAATGATTTTTTTTTTAAAGGTAAAAAATAAAATTAAAATGACATATATACAATTTCTTAAAATAAAATAAAAAATATTTTCTGATTTTGTTAAATAAATCTTGAAAATAGAGAAAACAATATAAAAGTTTTCTCTGAAGAACATGATATTACATTTAATTATCCATAAATTAAAATGTAATATCATGTTTTAAATAAAAAAAAATTACATAAATAAAAAGAGGCACTTACTTTTCAAGAAGCTTTAAAAGTTCATATCTGCACTCGAGTTACTGGATGTAAACTGAAGATTGACAACGCTTTGAGAGATTATAAATATCAAGAATCTTCAACAAAATGTTCAACTTGTTCGAAACAATAGATGCATCAGTGTCTTAAAATTATATAATTAAAATAAAACCATGAAAAATAATAGTTATAATAAAATGTTAATATAATTTAGTATAACATAATTACACATTTCATTAATATCCCTAAAAAATGATTTTTTTAAGTAAAAAATAGAATTAAAATGACATATTAACAAAATAATACTTCCTGCTTTTGACAAATAAGTCTTGAAAATAGAGAAAACAGCACAATTTTTTTTTTTTTTATTACATCTTACTTATAAATAAGAAAACATGATATTTCATTTTAATTATCTAAAAATTAAAAGACAAGTATATATATTACAAAATAAAAAGAGGCCTTTACCTTTTAATTAGCCTAAAAGTTCAGATCTGCACTCGATCTACTGGAAACTAGAGACTGATACTGCTGAGAGAGAATATAAGTATCAAGAATCAACAAAAAGTTCAACTTGTTTGAAACATAAATACATCGGTTTGGCAAAACTATATAATTAAAGTAAAAACAGAGAAAAATAATGGATATAAAAAATTAAACAAACTAACCAAATAAGCATATATAAGCCATAAACTATTTAAAAAAAAAAAAAAAAAAGTAGATTTAAGAAATCAAAGAAAGTGAGAAACATACAGAAATATATATATATTACAAAATAAAAAGAGGCCCTTACCTTTTAATTAGCCCTAAAAGTTCAGATCTGCAATCGATCTACTGGAAACTAGAGACTGATACTGCTGAGAGAGACTATAAGTATCAAGAATCAACAAAATGTTCAACTTGTTTGAAACATAGATACGTCGGTTTGGCAAAACAATATAATTAAAGTAAAAACAGGGAAAACTAATGGATATAAAAAATCAAACAAACTAACCAAATATACATATATAAGCTACTTTAAACTATCTAAAAAAACAAAAAAAGTAGATTTAAGAAATCAAAGAAAATGAGAAACATACAACTTTTGAGGGTTTTGCAGCATCCAATTGAGCAATTACTTTTCTTTAAGAAATCCGAGAGCGTGAAAAAACTTGAATAATTTCTCAAAATTTTCCTTTTTCTTCTCAGACTTTTCAAAGAAAACTAAAGAGGAAATAGCACCGAAAATACCATAACCCTTCCCAGAACCTTATCTCAAGTTGTGTGGCCTTCTTCCTTTCTTGACTTTGACTTAATAATTGTATACCAAGTAAACGACATATTCCCACCCAAGGTTTGACGAAATATCAGGTGAGTACCACAGGTTCCATTTATTCCAGATTCCCACCCTTAAAGTAATATTATTATGAACTTTTAGGGTTTAAAGCATGCAATTATCATAATGCCCCTAACCCTAAATTAATAAATTATGTTTTAACCCCTAATTTATTAGAATTATAAAACTTACCATTTTATTTTCAAATGATATCAAAAACACCCTCGGTCACTACACACCCTCATCGGAAACAACCTGATATGGGCTGTTTCTGATGACGTCGAACACCTTGGTCACTCCATCACCTTCCTCGTAGTCCGTCGTCCAAAACCCCTCTGGTTCTTGACTCATTTGCCCCTCCAATCGTCAGGGCCATTAGGCTTAGGGTTTTGGTGTTCTTCACCGGATTCCGGACGATTCCGGCGGTGAAAATCCAATTGGACACCACCAATGAAACCACCATATCTAGATCTATAAAATCCCCATGTCCCCAGTAGCCGTTTCGTCGGCCGAGAGTTCGTGTTCTTTGGCCATTTTTCAATGAAGTGGTGGACGGCAAATGGTGAGGTGCCGTGGCTGGAAAGGTTAGGGGTTTTGTAAGGGAGGATTCGAGGAGTCAAATGGTGGTGACAAGGGTGATTTTGGGTGGAAAAATCACCTGAAATAGAGCGAAAAACGTTTACCAGCGGTGGTCTACTAACCTGCGTCGGAGGACTGTTACAGGCGGTGGTCTGCTAACGTGCGCCACTCATGTAAAATGACCAATTTATCCCTTTACCGTTACATCAAATGTTTTTATGTTACTTTAAGGGTGAGAATCTGGAATAAATGGAACCTATGGTACTCACTTAGGATTTCGTCAAACCTTGGGTGGCAATATGTCGTTTACTCTTGTATACCCTAGGCCACCAGCACTAATGTGTTCTATAGTTAACGGTACCCTCACAATACCGTACTCGCTACTTTGATTTATAAAAACAAATATGTTTTAATATTCATATTTTCTTTAATATTCATATTAATTAATTAATTTCTTATTTTTTTAATTATGCAATGATGAGTATTATAATATAATTGATTTCGAATTAATGTCATTGTAATTTTTTTTTTCATAATCGAAGTGTCTGAACTAGTTTACGAACACCTTAATTAATTATCGAGGTTTATTGAACACCCTATAAACTTAAAATATCACTATATAATTTTTTTGTCGAGCCCTGTACTTGGAGAAATTAAGACCGCAAATAGCTATAATGGAGGATCATGTCTCTTGCTTTATTTCGTTGTCCAGCTGTGTACGCTGGAAATGACCATAAACAAACAGCAGTAGTGGTCCTGGTGGAGGGCCATGCCTCTTGCTTTATTTCTTTTCAGAAGACTTTTCAATTTGAATTTATTGGCAATTTTGCTTACTTTCTAATAGTTGGGGTTAGCTTATGAAATTCGAATTATGTCGTAAACAGATTATGTAAATGCAAAATTTTGTAAACTTCAAAAATAATTTTATATTAACAATCATTTAATTAAATGAATGATTTAACATATTCCATTTAAAAGGGGGAAACAGTAGGAAACATAAGAAAAGAAAAAAACAGTCAAGGGGTAATTATGTCATTTTTCCCCTATACATATATAAACCCTAGGAGGATACAACTTTTGAGGGTTTTGCAGCTTCCAATTGAGCAATTACTTTTCTTTCAGAAATCCGAGGGCGTGAAAAAATTAAATAATTTCTCAGAATTTTCCTTTTTCTTCTCAGACTTTTCAAAGAAAACTAAAGAGGAAATAGTACCGAAAATACCATAACCCTTCCCAAAACCTTATCACAAGTTGTGTCATGTGTGACCTTCTTTCTTGACTTTGACTTAATAATTGTATACCCTAAGCCACCAGCACTAATGTGTTCTATAGTTAACGGTACCCTCACAATACCATACTCACTATTTTGATTTATAAAAACAAAAATGTTTTAATATTCATATTAATTAAATAATTTCTTATTTTTTTAATTGTGCAATGATGACTATTATAATATAATTGATTTGAATTAATTTCATTGTAAATTTTTTTCGTAACTAGGGTGTCTGAACAAGTTTGCGCACACCTTAACTAATCATCAAGGTTCATTGAACACTAGGGGTGGGATAAAAAATCCGAAAACCGAACCGAACCGGTAATCGAACCGAAAATTAGGTTTTTTTACAAACCGGTTCGGTTTTCGGTTAGTAAAATTCAAAAACCTACAGAAATATATATATATTACAAATAAAAAGAGGCCCTTACCTTTTAATTAGCCCTAAAGTTCAGATCGCAATCGATCTACTGGAAACTAGAGACTGATACTGCTGAGAGAGACTATAATATAAGAATCAACAAAAGTTCAACTTGTTTGAACATAGATACGTCGGTTTGGCAAAACATATAATAAAGTAAAACAGGGAAAATAATGGATATAAAATCAAACAAACTAACCAATATACATATAAGCTACTTTAAACTATCTAAAAAACAAAAAAAAGTAGATTTAATAGAAGAGACTGATACTGCTGAGAGAGACTATAAGTATAAAGAATCAACAAAATGTTCAACTTGTTTGAAACATAAGTACATCGGTTTGGCAAAACTATATAATTAAAGTAAAAACAGAGAAAAATAATGGATATAAAAAATCAAACAAACTGACCAAATATACATATATAAGCTACTTTAAACTATTTAAAAAAAGAAAAAAAAAAAAAAGTAGATTTAAGAAATCAAAGAAAGTGAGGAACATACAACTTTTGAGGGTTTTGCAGCATCCAATTGAGCAATTACTTTTCTTTAAGAAATCCGAGAGTGTGAAAAAACTTAAATAATTTCTCAAAATTTTCCTTTTTCTTCTGAGACTTTTCAAAGAAAACTAAAGAGGAAATAGCACCGAAAATACCATAACCCTTCCCAGAACCTTATCTCAAGTTGTGTGGCCTTCTTTCTTTCTTGACTTTGACTTAATAATTGTATACCCTAAGCCACCAACTTTAAACTATCTAAAAAGAACCAAAAAAAAAAAAAGGTAGAATTAAGAAATCAAAGAAAGTGAGAAACATACAACTTTTGAGGGGTTTGCAGGGACGAAGGACTTATGCATACCCAAAGTTTGTTGAAACGACAAGTTGATACCCAAAAGGTTTTGAAACGACAAATAGGTACCTTCCGTCATGTTCTATTAGTGATTTTCGTTAGATAATAGTGAAAATGCCAGATCTGGCCGTCGAGGCCTAAAAAGGCTAGACATAGATCTGACCTTTTCCGGCCAGATCTGTGGCGGATCTGGTCGGAAAAGGCCAGATCGGTGTGTTACGACACAGATCAGACGGGTCTGTGTCATAACACAATTTTTCGGCTAGATTCCGACGGTGGTGGTTGGAATTTGGCACTGTGGGTGGCGGGGGTGTATTTGTTATTTTATAAAATTTTTATATATTGGGGTATTTAGTCAAATTAGCAAACCTAGGGGTTTTTTAGAAATTTTTAAATTTATAAAAAACTAAAAATTAAACTTTCAAGGGCATTTTAGTCTTTTCAATATTATCTAACAAAAATCACTAACTGAATATGACGGAAGGTATCCATTTGTCGTTTCAAAACCTTTTGGGTACCAACTTATCGTTTTGATAAACCTTGGGTATGTATAATTCGTTCTCCCGGGTTTGCAGCATCCAATTGAGCAACTACCTTTCTTTAAGAAATCCGAGAGCGCAAAAAAACTTAAATAATTTCTCAAAATTTTCCCTTTTCTTCTCAGACTTTTCAAAGAAAACTAAGGAGGAAATAGCACCGAAAATACCATAGCCCTTCCCAGAACCTTATCTCAAGTTGTGTGGCCTTTTTCTTTCTTGACTTTGACTCAATAATTGCATACCCTAAGCCACCAACTTTAAACTATCTAAAAAGAACATCTAAAAAAAAAAAAAAAAAAAAAAGTAGATTTAAGAAATCAAAGAAAGTGAGAAACATACAACTTTTGAGGGTTTTGCAGCATCCAATTGAGCAATTACTTTTCTTTAAGAAATCCGAGAGCGTGAAAAAACTTAAATAATTTCTCAAAATTTCCCTTTTTCTTCTCAGACTTTCCAAATAAAACTAAAGAGGAAATAGAACCGAAAATACCATAACCCTTCCCAGAATCTCATCTCAAGTTGTGTGGCCTTCTTTCTTTCTTGACTTTGACTTAATAATTGTATACCGTAAGCCACCAGCACTAATGCGTTCTATAGTTAACGATACCCTCACAACACCATACTCACTATTTTGATTTATAAAACCAAAAATGTTTTAATATTCATATTAATTAATTAATTTCTTATTTTTTTAATTATGCAACGATGAGTATTATAATATAATTGATTTCGAATGAATTTCATTGTAATTTTTTTTTATAACTAGGGTATTTGAACTAGTTTGTGCACATCTTAACTAATCGTCGAGGTTCATTGAACACCCTATAAGCCTAAATAATCAAGATGTAATTCCTTTGCCGAACCGTGTACGTTGGAGAAATTTTTATATCTCTTGCTTTATTTCCTTGTCCAACTGTGTACGTTGGAAATGACCATAAACAAACAACAGTAGTGGTCCTGGTGGAGGGCCATGCCTCTTGCTTAATTTCTTTTCAGAAGACTTTTCGATTTGAATTTACTGGCAATTTTGCTTACTTTCTAATAGATGGGGCTAGCTTCTGAAATTCGAATTATGTCGTAAACAAATTATGCAAATGCAAAATTTTGTAAACTTCAAAAATAATTTTATATTAACAATCATTTAATTAAGCAAATGATTTAACATATTCCATTTAAAAAGGGGAAAAAGTAGGAAAAATAAGAAGAAGAAGAAAACAGTCAAGGGGTAATTATGTCATTTTACCCTTTCATAAAAAAAAAAAAAAAAAAAAAAAGAAGCCCCTAGACTACTTCTCCCATCTTTTTCTTCTTCATCTCACCCTCCTCCTCCTCCCATCTTCATTTTCCACCGGATTTTGCCACCGTCTCAGGTGGAAATTGAAGGCCTACTGCCAATCAATCAATAGGCCCAATCATCCTCAAAAATCATCAGATTGAAACCAAATCAGCGAAAAAAAACTAACCCAGTCACGATAGTGTGAAGTGAGTCTCGATTGACAAACAACGGGTTACCAAGTGTCGGGGGTAGGGGGTTTTGTAGAGTGAAGATCGGTGGTTTTAATGGTGAAGTTTGATTGAAATTTGGTCATCATTTGTCACTAGAATTTGGCTTAGAACAACAAAATCCTAAATTTGCGATTGTCGATGAACGGTTGAAAAAGAGGCTTGGGAACTTTGAGGGTTTTGAATCAAGTTTTTCACAGATGATAGATCTCATACTAACTAACTAATAAAAAAACAAGGAAGCAATCACATATTAAGATGCAAGAGATCAACAAGTAGGAAGCATTCAACAATGGTAAAGTAAAGAAAATAAGATCGACACAAAGGATTATAGTGGTTCGGCTTTAAAGCCTACATCCACTGTTCAAGGCACAGATAAGATGTCATTACTATCAAAGTCAAGTAGGGAATTTTACAGAGTATTGAATAAGAATAAGCAAATCAATAAAGAAAGAATACAAACGAAGAAAACCTAGCTTTCTTGTATTTTCCCCTTGCTCCAATCCGCATCAAATAGAATCAATATATACCCAAGAGTCATCTCCAAGATCAGCCTCCACTTGGATCAAAAGGATTTCCAGCCGTAAGATGAGTAACAAAATTCGTCCTCTCCCATTAGCATGTTCCGGAACAAATGAGGGAAGAGAGAGATGAAGGCAGGATCTAGTGCCACGAAAACAATCTATAGCCCAAACTTAAACGATGTCGCTCCAGCCTTTGACTCTATAAAAATAAATTGACTCCACTGTGGCAAAACATAAGCCACATCACCACATGATCAATGGAGGTCGGGGAAGTTGGTGGTGGATCGGGAAAGTCCAACAATGCCAGATTTCGACCAAATTGACCTAGAGTTGGGGGCGCAAGTGGCTGCTAAAATTGCATGAAAGGCCAAATCTGGCCAAAAAAATAGTCGATGAGGCAAGAGGGCTATGCAAACAGGCTTGGAGTGATGGATTCCGTCAATTTTGGCAAACAATCCGATTGGATTTAGCACAATCGGCCGACAGTGAAAGGTGAGTTAAGAGAACGCTAGCTTTTTTTTTTTTTTAGTAGTGGTTCTAGTGGCAGGTATGGAGCTAGTGGGGGTCTAGGTATAGGTGGTGCCATTTAGGTGGAATTGCACCCAGCTAACCGAATAACATCTGGGATTTGGATTCGAAGAGGAAAGTGTATTTTCGTTGTTATTGTTACTGTACCCTGTTAAGTAATAGATTTTATTAACAGTCTTAATTAACGATGGGTTGGTAATTGTCATATAGATCTTAACAACGGATGGTAAACTATCCTTTTAATACTTTCCAGTCAACAAATTGTCCTTAGGGCAAACTTCGGTTGGGAACATGTTGTTCGGCCTATAAAATGCAAATATTATTTCGTTAGCTTCGTTAAAAAGTAGATGCATGGGATCGATATATGATACAAGACATTCATAAAAGATATGCATATGTTAATTAAACATATATAATATACGTACGGCGTATATTAATGACCAACCATTTTTTTTCCCAATAAATCTCACCCAAGTCAATATCAAGATCAATTAGAAATCAAAGTATAAATTCTTATATGAATGAATATATATATATATACACGACTCTGTCAAACGGTACAACAACCTTTTTAGCATTTTATTTATCCTTCATGGAATTTAAGTTCACCGGAGAGAAATCTATGTAAGCAATATATATCAATTTTAATAAATTGAAAGCGGAAGTCACAGAAACTCCTTTCTGCACGAAATATATTACCTTCTGATAGCAATAACTGTGTCCTAGTTTTGCCAATCTGCGAATGGAGATCCACAACATAATTAACTTTTGCAAGAATTTAACCCTTCAAGCCATTCTCAGAAATAGGATTGCATCTTGTCTCAATTAGCAGCATTCAAAACATTGACGGTCGGAATTATGTTGTTAGGCCTTAAAAACTGAACAAACTCTCGCATTATTTGCCTATAATCACTTAAAATAAGAAATGATTGAGCTTGAGAATATGATTCAGTTATAAGACGAAATATAATCAATAAAATTTCTTCTTTTCATCAATGTTCCAAAAAAATAGAAATCAGTAGCATAATAAAAAAGATTTCAATAAACAAATAAAAAGCACGATTTTCTGGATGTATAATATAATTATGTAGTTATATAAGAATATATACGGTTTATCTTAAAACCTTTCAATACCCACATTAACATAAGAAACTTGTTGATACATCTTAATTATCTAATAAATTCAACTTAATTCCATTTTCCAATATTACACATCACGTTCTGTAATTTACAGCCCCATTAATTCCCTTTAAAGTCCAACAAAATTTAAAACCAACCCCATCAAAACTGCAAAAGCAGCACCCGAACCCAAAGCACATGGAGCACCAGAATCAGCCGGCCCTGGCGCTGCCGCTGTATTCCCACTATCCTCCTCACCTTTAGTGGGTGCTGGAGGTGGCGCCTTACGAGTCATCGGAGACGGTGCCGGTGACTTTTTAGAAGGTGGAGGAGGCGGAAGAGTAGTATACGGTGCAGGGGCACTAATTCCAGGCGCCACAATACTTTGACTAATTTGTAACACAGAAATATTATATGGCTCGGCATATACAGATTTCACAAACCTAGCCGCAAGCGGTGAATCTTTCACTTCTGAGCCGAACAAAATATCATTACCTGACACTGTAACATTCAAGAACCCTTGTCCCTGTTGAGCTACACCAGATGCCTGTAACAATGTAGTCATAGTTGTTGTCTTGTTTGGTAGATTTTTAAGTTTATTTTGGTCAATGTAATCAAGAATGACATGGTTCATCAATATTCTTTGAACTTCATCTTTAGATTTGCCTTGAAGAGATCCCACAGCTCCATTATCCAAAGCAAGAATTGTGAGGCTTGAGCGGCTGTTGATTGTTTCAGCAAGTCCAGTTTGCGTTAAAAGATTATTAAAGGAACCAAAATCAGAGGTATTGCTAAGGATCTTGGTGATATTGAACGCATTTGAAAAGTTTGAAGAGAATAAAGAAACCAGAGCTACGAAGAGGATACAAGAGGCAAGGGCTCGAAGACTCATCTCTTATTTAATTTTGTTTTTTGAACTCAGGACTCTGATTTGCTGAAGAAGAAGAGTCTTGAGGCTGTTTATATATTAAAAAATATAGCTAAAATTAATAAAGAAAATGATTCATTAACAAATCCTTTCATATGTCGGGTGGCACTGAAACTTTATCCACATAGATTAGTAGTAGAGAAGCAGTTTAATTAATTTAATATTGAACTTAATTAGTTAACAAATTTCACAATTCAGTAATCTGTTTCAAACTATGGAGTTTGGCTGATTAAGGCGGTTTTCAATTTAAGGATTTGTTACCCCAAATACAAAACAGATTCCCTTTTTTTTTAATAAATAAGTCTATATTTTGATAATTTGTTGCACAACCGAATTTAATAAGATTTGTAAACAAATACAAATATGTGCTTTAGTTAATTTATTAATAGGAAACTACTAAATTAAACTACCTCTTATTGATCGGGTAGTTCAATAAGAACTCTTGAGTGTATTATTCAAGAGATTTTGAGTTCGAGTCTTTTCTCGATTACTAATAGAGATATTCTCTAGAGCTCTTACCCAATCTGTAGTTCTAGGATTTCAAGAGATTTTTTGAGGGAAAAAAAAAAAAAACACTACTAAATTATATGGTAAATCATTTACCTCATTTTAATTATTGGCTGTAGTTCAGACAATTTTCAGAACATTATCTAATTTAGTAAAATTTTCTTGCATGAAAGAATAACAAGATTTTGAAAAAACAGGACATATACACATAAAGGGCCTGGGAAGATATTTTGGTCTGGATGCAAAGTGGGCTGTTGCCATGTTCATAGATAATTCGAAGAACAGGCACAGTTAAATGGGCCTAAGAATAAATGTATGAATGAATATAGTACTAGTGGAATATTTAAAATTCCATTAGCTTTTGCTTTTCCTAAACCAGAATGAATATAGTAGTGGAAGTCAGTGGATCACTACTTCAAATCGAAGTTTCTTCAGTTCTCTTATTCTTATATTGGGAATCTCATGAATGAATGAATTAATTATTTTAGACAAAAGTCAGAGGGGAAGGCTATATTTTAAATTAAATCTAGATGTATATAACTATATAGGCTTTGCATATATGTATATATATATGCATGACGGCTGCCGCCAACTGCATCAGATGAATGATAAACAATCTAAAACTGTTCCTTGCTTTAGGGAGATGACATATGATCCATATGGACCATATGATATGAGCTTAAACTTTAAAGTAGTCGATTTGAATGAAAAATCCTATTACTTTGTGGACGACTTCTACTTAATTCCCAGATTAAACCTGTATAAATGCTTAATGTTTTAGACAAAAACTCTGTAGTAAAACAATCGTATACATACGATCACAGTATGTTAATACATTTTATAGTAGTGGATATGTTTAAAGAAACTTTTCATGATAAATAAGGCCACATTCGATAGATCAGGAAGAGCCACGTTAAAGTATGTAACTTGGATGCACTATATGATAGGATAAAAGCTTTCTCTATACTTTTTGTATATTTGCTTGAAATAATGGGTTGGACCTCATGGAATCATCAAGGCTGTATATATAATTTGCTTTTATCTTTCCATCTTTTATGGGATGAAATAATTAATAGAACCACTTATAATGCATAAGTAAGCTAAACATTCCCTAGCCACTCATCGTCTATTAAGGTGTATGTGGTGTATAATTTTTTATCTCGAAACATTAAAATTCAATTGAAAGAGATATTTGAATTATAAAATTTCAAGTTAGTAATAAGGAATAGATCCCTTTTTTCTCATTCACTCTCCTTATTAATATATGTGAAAGGGAATATGGCATCAACATGAAATTTGGTAAGGAAAAAGAAATATAATTAAAACAAAGCCTATACTATAGTGTATAGCCTGGTATAATATTAATGTTGGTTTGCTCCTTTCAATTTAATTATTTGCATTATTCCATTAAGCTAGATTTGCAAAAGGTACTTCTTACTAATACAGGTTAAACATTTATATACCTCATCTAAAACCCTGGTTAACTTTTGTATTATTCTCTTAATAATCTTCTTTTTAAAGTGACTAATACGTTACTGAGTACATATGCTGATTGCTGCCAGCTACCTAATAACTAAATGCCTTTTCTATAATAATCTCTCCCTTCCAGTTTACTTTGTGTTAAATAATTCATGTTCTCTATAAACTTCTTTTTAATGGTACTTATACCACCAAGGAAAGGACCAATAGATATGTAAACCCATGCATCTCTCTCTTTCTCTCTCATTAAAGCAGCAATTAATCTAATCTAATCTAACCATGCATGCATGCATATGAATTCAACGCTCTCTATATACATATATATAATATATAAAGCAATTAAAAACCATGTAACAAAACTGTATAAATTAGAATTGGTGGACGATCAGAGAGAGGGTTTGAGCGAAATTATGAATGCATGATTGCAATTAATTAAGTTTAATTAGAAGGCAATTAGTTAAGTATATACGATATGTCATGAAGATGAGGTTACATGGTTTTGATGGCATGAAGAAGCCATAGATTTCAAGTGGGTTCTATTCTACCTTTTGGATGATTCTCTTCTCATTTTAAAAGGGGAGATAAAAAGATAAAAGCATAAGATAAAGTTCGTGGTGCACGATGAAATTTTGTGAATTATATTGTCCCCACTAAATTCCTTCTCATTTATAACCTGGATAAAAAAGGAGAGAGTAACAATTAAAAAGATGATTGTATAATAAAGAAGATATGAAGGAGATATCGATTTCTCTTTTTCTAAATGAATTAAAGGAAAATTCTTTTCTGAGCTGGTTTTGTCTTCCAAAATTCAAACAAACTCAATAAACTGACATACTGAATCATTGACATGGCAATTAGATAAATATGAAATGGATCATGAATCTATTTGCCAACTAAGCCACATTTCAACTCTCACTTCTCTTCTTCCGTAGATAACACCTACCTTCCACACTACTTATATTTTTTCAATTTCTGATCGATCCCATCTCTAAAGATTTTTCCATTCCATTTAACCGAAAAGACTTATAATGTTCATTTTTATTGGTTTACTGTTAAATATAAAGCATGAGTTGGAGTCTTATTATCGGCTACCATGATTCCTTGGAAGCATCTAGAAGTAGAAGTAAAGTGTGGTACCATCTTTGATTGAAGGAGGGATTATATATATATCCATTGTTTTGATGAGAAGGAAAGTCGCATGATCGAAGCTATAAAGTTAATACTTTTATCCAAAACTAAAAGACAAGGAAGGAATGGCAGATGGAAGTTTGTGATTGGGTAGAATGAGATAATTAAAAATGAAAAGACGAAAACACAGAGATTTTGGCATCACTTAAGATTTCCTAAGGAATGGGGATAATGAAAGGTCGGTTTCATTTAGGACCTTGTGGCTTGTATAAAGAGGAACATTGATAAGTTAATGGTTGTGGCTTGAATGGGTAAAGGGCTTACAAGTTTTCTGCATGCCACGGGAACATTGGATTCACTGTTCACCTTTAATATGTAAGTATATAACCCAGGACCACCGCTGATTTCCATTATAGCCTTCCTTCTATCAACTATTCTTTTTTCTTCTCTACATTTTTCATTCGGATTAGGATGTGAATCATAAATAAATGAAAACGCAGAAGTCTGTAATGAGATCATTAAAAGTTTTAAGAAAGCTCATAAAACTTATATATACATAGCTATAGCATTCTCTTTTGATCTATTTTAACTATCTTTATTCAACTTCATCATCAACTTCCAACAAGTTAATTATATGTAAACCCAATTGGGAATTCTATCACAAACTGATCATCTCTGGATGGAAGATTGATCACTATATGTTTCAGGGAATCTATTGAGTTGAAGGAAATAAACTTACAGTTGGTATCTTCATAGCAGTATTATTTGACAAGTCTGAAAGGAGGACAACTTGATGAGTTGATGTTGCTTTTTATTTTTTTTATTTTTTTGGGGTCAGAAGTTGTCGTTGCTATTGATCGATTTGACAAGACCAGTGAGGGTGCTGTTGGGGAGGACCATTTAGCCCATGTGATAACATGTGGGCAATGTAGAAATTAATATTTTTCTGCATCAAAACATATACCAGAGACGCCATCTGTACATGAAGGGATCATCCATAACTAATTTGATAATATTGTTGATTAAAACCTAGCCATCGTAGTGGTCCTTCCTTCTTTAAGACTCTCGCTCACTTCTCTTGACTAGAATCCTTATCAAGTTTCCTGATTAATTAAGCTTCTGTACATAAAAGCATTTCGAATATATACTGATATTTCCTCTAATAATTAATCAGCAGTAAAATCCTTTCATCAACTTGACTTGAATATAATATATTAGCAGAAGATCATATAAAAATGCTCATGCCAATAAAATAGGAATATCCCATTAGATTTAGTTCATGAGACACGTTAAAACTTATTCTAAGTTTAGAATATTGCAGGATTCTCTAAAGGTAAAGGCATTCACAAAGTTAATAATAATTAAACAAAAAAAATGAGCTCCACATCTTCTAAAAAATAGTATATAACCTCTTCCTCAATCCTCATATTGCTTTAATCTAATATTCATCAACAAGCTTAATTTTAATTATCATGCCATTATGTAACCCAGCTGTAAACAAGCTTAACCAGAATGGATTGTACAAATTTCAGAGTTAATAAAGCATTAATTATTGGATAATTATACAAAAGGCAGTATAGATAAGGCAGCCTTGGCGTTTTAATTAATTAGAAAAGGCAAAGAGCAAAAACAACAAAAGGATATATCTTTAAGGTTTTGATATAATTATGTATCTATCCCAATGATAAGTAACCAATGAAGAAAGAACCCAAAAGCTAAAAGCTCCTTTCAGTACTTGCCGAACCCACTATACCATAATCACAATTCTATTGCACTCTCTTCACGTGGACATCTCGTGGTTTTTCCATATATCAAAAATAACTTTCATTGATTGACTTTTTGAGACTATATTTTAGTTCTTCTACTAACTTATAATAAAGATTCCATATTCTAAAGCAAATGAAAGCCTACTCATCAACATAGAAACAGAAAAGAGATTCTTCTCAACCCATGCCACACCCCCATGGATGGTTCCTGTGCCCTAAATTAAACCCCAGAAGCATCTATGTACCCTTTTATTTAAACTATTTTGGACCCACGATATCTTGATTCTCTACCAAAGCTAAACATGGTCATCGTCAACTTTTTTTTAATTAATACTCACCCCACTTTCAGTATTTTCTTCTTGTTTTTATTTGCCTCTTTAACACATATATATACCCCTTCCTCTCTCTCATTTCCTCACCATCAAACAAACTCACTTCACATTCTTCTTCTTCTTCACTTCTACTTATAATAACCAAAACCCTATTCATTCACTTCACACATTTGGTTATTTCAAAACACTATGTCTGGAGTTTGGAAGTTTAACCCCAGGAATGGCGTCATTCGTCTTGTCGAAAACCCTCAAGCTGAATCATCATCCTCATCCTCATCCTCATCATCATCCGGGAAAAGAAAGGTTTTGGTGTATTTACCAACAGGTGAAGTGGTGTCTTCTTATTCTTCACTTGAAAAAATCTTGAAAGGTTTAGGCTGGGAAAGGTATTATGGAGGTGACCCTGATCTCTTCCAGTTCCACAAACACTCTTCCATTGATCTCATCTCTCTTCCTCGTGACTTCTCCAAGTTCAATTCCACCAGCGTTTACATGTATGATATTGTCGTCAAGAATCCCAATATCTTCCATGTTCGCGATATGTGATTTGATCCATCACCCACCAGCTCTATCTATGTATGCATGCATGCATTTAATTCTCATCTCATCATCATTTACATTCTAGTGTTTGCAGTGTGATTTATATTTTCTTTTTTGAATTATTAGGCATTAATTGTATCGTTGTACGTGTATTTGTATTTGTACGCATGGTTCTTCTAGGGTTGATCAGGGTTTCTGTAGGCTCCTTGTTTCCTACAAATAAAATTGAAATTGGTGTTTGTGTTTGTGTAATCGTTTTCACTTTACTTTACAAAACTTTGAACAAAAACAAATTTATGATAGTTTCATTGTCTCCTTGTGAAGACACTCAGTCCACTTAATATCAATGAGATTTGATTAACCCGTACGTTAGAGTATGACAAAAATAGTTAAAATACACTAGAGAAGCTGCATTTTGGAATCGATACTAAATCGATTTCAGAACAAAGTAGAAATCTGTAAAACACAAGCCAACAAACAAAGATAGAATATCTCCATAAATCAAATATTACTAACCAAGTAATTAGTTTTAACTATTTTGATGACAGTGACCTAAAAGTTACGACAAAATCATTTTCGATCTTTCAAGGAGCAAGAGAATCAAGTTATCTAGTCATAATAAAAAGACACAGCCAGCAAAGAAAAATAAGAAGCATACTTTTTATATCCAATCATATGAATATGCATATGCGTTTTGGATTCAAGAGAAAAAAGGGTAGCCAATCATAGATTAATAATAGGTATATATACTTTTTAACTGATGGAAGGTTGATTATATGAGAAGCCAAAGGAAGAGAGCAAATGGGATTCACGTGAAGTGGATGGTGACTGTTTATCACAATCGGATGTGTCCATTGTGGCATGCCCTTTTAGAAGAAATACACATATTGATTTTCATTTCAATTATCACAAATGAAAGTGATGAGTATCAGTTCTCAAATCAAATTCATGGCTGCAAATTATTCCTATCAATATCCAAATTTTTCTTTTTTCTTTTTTGAATCTGGGACTGTGCTTGGTTCGTCCTTATTAATTAATACTTTTGGTTACTAATTATTAATTAAGTTTTCACTAAAAGAAATTAATTTTAGTTAGTCATTAATTAAACACAATATTTGTTTCAACTTCTTCTCTCCCAAATTTCTTTTAAAAAAATATAGCATTTTCATTTCTAAATTTTATAATAAAAATCTCTAAAAAAGAGTAACAAAATGAATACGTTGAAGTGACAATCAGCCAACCGCCTTTCTCAGGTTTATTTACGGTCACGGTAGAAGGATTAACATTAAGATAAGTGTCTGATTATATTTCCTGTGAAGAGAACACATATATACTGGCAATTTGCTTTCGTCTACTTAACTTCATAGGTTAAACTTTAAAGTTTAAGGTAATCTTATAATCCCGTGCCCACAGGTTGAACCTGCATGAAATTTAGGATCAATTATCAATTCAGTAATAAATTTCAATCATATATTTAGCCAGGAAAAAAGTGTAAAACGAGCCTTTGATCTAGGAAGTATAAGAAAGATAAGTAGGGTTAAACTTATATAATTTGTACAAGGGAGTAAGGTTAGAAAAAGCTGCATTGCACGCCTTTGAACAAAAGCTAGCCGTGTTCCTCTACCATTTCCGTATCTCTCTTCTAATATTTCACCATCTTAAGGCACATGCACTACACTAGTTTATTGCCTTAGAGCACCCAAAAAAAAAAAAAAAAAAAAAAAAAAAAAATGGAAAATTGACAACTCAAATAGTATTTCAGCTAATCCAAAGGATTTGTTATGGAAAGGAAGACACGTGAATAAAGGATTGTCATTATGGGTAAGCAACGTTCGACATGGCCACCCCAGCCGCACCAAATTTTGAAGTTTAAATAGAAAACTATCATGTTGTCCTGTTAATTCAGATTTCTCTTTAGCCTCTCTTTAACATCACCTAAGCCAATATATATACATAAAACCTCTCTATGATCACATGGTAGGATGAAATTAATTTTATTACTATAAAATTATGATTTAATAAAGTGAAGTTACAAAAATTAATATTTTGACTTAGTTATGCTTGAAAACTTAGATATATTTTGGCTTCAACAGAAAGTTTCATGCTGATGAATTATTACTATTCACAAGTTTAAAAATGTATAACAATTTAAAGTAAAATCATTGTTTCAAACACTTTCGATAAATATTTTATTTCATCTTATATCTTTAATGTCATATACATATAATTTTTATAATATACAGATAATTATTATTATATGCAAACAAGTTTCTTAAATAGACTACTAAAAAAAATTATAACTCATTACAATATAGTTTATTCTTATTATAATTAGTCAAAGCTAGAACCATAATTTTATATAACTATATAAGTCATTGTATAGTATTTATAGAGCTCTCTCTCTCTCTCTCTCCTCTCTCTCTCTCTCTCCTCTCCTTCTCTCTCTCTCTCTCTATATTATATATATTATATATATATATATATATATATATATATATATATATATAATATATATATAATATATATATAATATATATATATATAATACATTTTCATTTCTCTAACCCCTTTTCATTGACTTTACTTTCGACCCCTACAAAAAATTTTAGTCACCTACTTGTTACACTGCTTAATGTTTCTATCATATTTTTTTATAGGTATATATGATAAAAGAATATTTAGCCATATTAAATAAAGGAGTTTGATTATTGAACATGATTGTTTGATAAATTTTTATTTTATTTATTTTTATTAGTACCCATTTTTTGATTCTTAAGTTGGGGGTTGTTGATCAAATTAGTGGTATTTTTGGGTTTATATTATGAATAATACTACACCAACAAACCCCCTCATAACCCTGACGCGGCAGCTTACAATTGGTTAGTTCACAATAGGCCCCATGTGGATCTTATTAATTAATTGCGAGCTGTCACATCAGGATTGTAAGAGAAAGTTTACGAGAAAATGTTGGTGGTGTAGTACTACTCTTATATTATAGGCCATGTTTATTGATTTGGAATTGTGCGAAGCTTATATGGGCTCAAGTCTAGCCTGCTTTTAAGAAATCAAGCTCAGATAATTTATGGCCCATTAAGCTTGGATGCACCTGTATTAATTAGGGGTGTTCAAAAGAACTGATTGAAACCGGAACCGACGGATATACCAGGGGTTTGGTTCCAGTTCCTACCCAGAACCGACCGTCAATGGGTAGGTTCTGGTTCCGATTCCTACAGTCAGGAACCGGAATAGAAAACCGAGACTAATATAAAACAAAATTAAAGAGTGGGGGGGTTAGTAAAAACTTTTGTAGAAAAAGTAATGTAAATACATTTATATTTATATTTCATAACATTTAAAGTAAGTTAGTTTAACTTTTGAGAATCTACCTTTACAAAGTATTAGAGTTTACAATTTGTAATTTTATTTTTGTTAACAAGTGCCAGGTGGGGGGTATTTGTAAATTTTTAAGGGTTTTTTTTTCATTTTAAAAACTTTTGGGGGGTGATGTAATTTTATAGGGTACCCGAAATCAAAACCGTTGTTACAAGTTTCGATTCTGGATACCCAGGATCTAGAACCGTCGGTTCTGGTTTCGATTCCAAATTTCAAGGAACCATCGATTTCGGTTCCGGTTCCGGTTCCTTTAAAAAATGCAGGGTACTCGGAACCGAAAACCCCTAGTATTAATATCTTATTAATTTGATTTCTCATTAATCATTAACAAAAAAATATATCTTTTTATTTAATTAAGTTATTGAGCCAACATTTATGAATTATAAGATGAATAAAAACTAAAATTTTTATTTCAAATTAAATACCAATACAAATTATGGGTTTGAACTTGATTTGCTAAAAAATAAAAGAGTAACAATTCCTTAAGTCATTTTCATTGGTTTTGAGCTCTCAATATTATCTTTAATTATATAATCGTATTAGTTTGTATGATTTATATGAAACTTGAAAATAGCATCGGAACTACAAACAACCTGCAAATAAACGATTTTTTTCCCACTCAAATAATGATCTAATGACACTTTTCCACCCAAAAAGTTTTAAAATATCACTTTACTACCCAAACTTTATATTCTATTAATAACTTCTATTATCTACAATGATATTCATTATGAAGACGAAAATATCCTTTACTATTTGACGAAAATATCAATGGTGACGGCATTGTCGCACGGATGATGAACAGTGAGCAAGTGGGCAATGGGATGGTGGGCAATGGGATGGTGGGCATTTTGTATAGTGGTTTCCGATGAAGCAGGGAGTGGTGACGAATTGGATTTTGGACACCGGATTCAACCAGATTTAGGTTGGAAGCGACGAAACCCTAACGGCATCGGTAAATGGCCTAATTATGACATTACATGTCAACCCCAACCCCACCATATCACTCCCTTTTGCCAGCACACTTAAACCCTATTTCACTACGCACCTAACTACTCTGCCAATCGCCGACCATTGCACTTCCTTTGGCCGATGTGTTTTCAAGCTATTCCGTTGAAGTCTAACAACAACAACCCTCTCTGACCATACCATTTGACACACCAGCGCCACCCTAACAAATACCCCAACATCTCCCAACCCAATTAACCATCAAATGCCATAGCCTACCTATTAGGTTTTTACGCAAACGTCACCTCTTCCCAACACAATTTTCGCCAACTTCCTCACTGAATCCTTCCCCAGCCCCACCACCTTTTGCATCGTCGATGTCCCCCTCCAAATCCCCTAACCCCTATGACCCCAATTGCCCACCAACAGATGTCACCGCCCCCTTTCCCCGCCCTCCTTCCCCGTGCACTGTTAATTGACTACCTTACCCTATCATATCTTTCTTCATAACGAAATTTACTAACAGAATTATGTTTTAGATAGTAAAATAGTATTTTAAAACTTTTTTGGTAGAAAAGTGTACCATTATTTGGTTAGGAAAAAAATCGTTTACACGCAATTTATGACACTTAAAATCGGAATTACAAATAGCAATCTGTTGTATATAATAATATAATTTCGTATAATTAAGAGTAATGCTACATGTATAAACAACTTTTACAAAAATTTATATACAAACTGATGTGATAAAAAAATGAATGGAAGAGTTGGTACAAAAAGTTAAACTCATTATATTCATTCTTCTATTCATTTTCTATCATATCAGTTTATCCATAAATCTTTTTCAAGATTTATCCGTGCATTTAGTGTTATTGTATAATCAATATGTAACTTAAAAATCGTCGGAACTACAGACAGCGACCCGCAATTTTATGGAATCTGTTGTTTTGAAAAGCCAATAATATTCATTGTCACATCCAAACGTGATAATAATAATTAGAAAAAAGAAAAAGAAAAACGAGAGTGATGACAGACACAGAATGAATATGTGAACGGTAGATAACTTCAAACAAATGTTTTCGAACTGCACATTCCAAAAACTTAACCAATATTTAAAAGAAACTCAGAAAATTAACCCAACTAAGCTTGCTTATAGCGAGAAATAGAACTACACGCACTTAATTATTATTCATATTTAACATGAAATTAATGGATCCAAATTGAAATTCTATTAACATGATTAAACTAAACATGAGTAATATTATTGTTTAGATCATCTCCAGGCCATTCTTCAGCTGATTCAAGAAAAGAAAAAGCCAACGATAAGAATTGATCTTGATCTGTAGTAGTTGTAGTTGTCGTTGTACCACTTTGATCTCCTCTCCCATTTTTCTCCTTAATTTTCTTAGGAAAAAATGATGCTTCATCACACGTTTTCTCCATTTCATTAAACTTATTGGTGAATTCTGAATCAAGAATTATACCCAAGTCCTCCACGTTAAAATCCAACATCATAAATTCTGATGAATTATTATTGCCTTCTTCTCTAGACATCGATAACGGTGACCCATCACTTGAGTAGCACCGATCGTTTTTATTTTCATAAATCGTCGTAATAATCCTTGGACAATCGCCTTCCACGTACGGCGGTAGCTCCACATCATTAATGAGTTTTTTATTGTCTTCTTCATCATTAACATCTCCTGCTGCAACAAACACATTGTTTCCTGTAGCTGCTTCTGGTAATTGTAATGAATTGATCCTACTCTTTCCAGTAGTTGGTGAAGATGGGAGCTCAACTTTAACTCTCTTTCCGATATTGGTAATATTATTAGACTGGAGTGGCGACTCTGGTAACTTCTTAGCTAAGTTGGTGTTCCAGTAATTCTTTATTTCATTATCTGTTCTTCCGGGAAGTCTGCCTGCGATCAGAGACCACCTAAAAAACAAACATGGAACTAGAAATCAATTGATTTACCGAATCAAACAAACCACCAAAATGAGAATAACTATATGAATTACGTACATACCTGTTGCCTAAGAGTTTATGCAGCCGGATGATGAGCTCTTCTTCATCGTCTGAAATGTTCCCTCGTATTATATCTGGTCTCAGATAGTTCATCCAACGCAGCCTGCAACTCTTTCCACATCTCTTCAGGCCTACATCATCAGCACATATGTAATCAATCACTCGATCAATTATAACTATTCCATTATAATTAAACTGCGTTGGTTTGGTTTGTAGTTGAGTCAAGCAAAGAAATGATGAACAAATATTAATATAATTTCACCAGAGAGAAAAATGAAGTACCTGTGATTTTAGCAACATTGCTCCATTTGCCTTCGCCATGGACCTTGATATAATCTTTTAAAATTTTGTCTTCGGCAGCAGTCCAAGATCCTTTATTCATTCCATCTTTGGAAGAGCCCGGACTTCTAACCATTGTGATTAACTTCTTCAAGTCTCCCTTGAAGTTTTTCAGAAGTGATTCTCACAGAGAAATGAAATGGCTATATATGAATGAATGAATTCTAGAGAGACCCACCTGCACGGACCACATCTCACTCATTAAACAAAGAAATCGACATCTAAATTTTGAAAAACAAAACGTGTTTCATCTTTTACTTTTATTTCTTCTTCAACTTGTTGCATGCCGCTCAAGTTGTTCTACTGTCAGCTCACGTACATAGGACCCCCTGTCAATTTTCCGCCATTAACATTTGATTAATTAACTACTTAATTCCTTGATTTTAACACTTAATTACATAGTCTCACGTGGTTTATATCATTGATACAAAAATAATCTTTATTCTTTCCGGGGGGTGTCGTTTACAATTGAAATTAAGACGTTACTATACAATCAAACTTATGGATCATGTGCTGGCTAACTTTCTCATTTCTTCTTCCGAATCTAAGCTAACTTTTTCGCCAGCAAAGCTGCAGAAATTTGAAAGTTTGTTACCTACCAGAAAAACATTCATGAGAGAGGATGAATTTACGACACAAAATTAAGAAATCTGCAAACTAATTTCGTCATACTGTAAAGACTGAAGAAAAGTTTATGCAGTTGAAAGTTGAAAGTTAGTTAATCATATTATGATTTCTGATATTATCAACGATTAAGTGAATATATGGTGTTAATGGAAAAGAACAGAAGTAAAGACAGAAACAAAAGTTTTGCTTTTATCAATGGATTTGACAGTAGAGAAATGACGAAAGTAAAAAATAAAAATAAAAAAATGTAGAAACAACTCCAATAAAATAAGATGATCAATTAATCACGTGATTATATATTAATAATTCAAAGTTTAATTAATTAGTGAATTATTAATTAGCATAAAAGAAGAAAGATTATGATATACGGATTACCGATTACGGAATAAACTCTCTGTATATAATGACAAAGTCGCTTCCTAATTATATATAAATATCCATTGCAAACTTTTCAACTAACATGTTTTCCTTATAATTTCCATATTTGAATTTTACACCACCCATCCTGCACGTGATTTCCCCATTGAGATACTTAATTGTCGGTTACTTCTTGTCTTTGGATGAGTTTATATATTTCAAGATAGCTTATTATCTCTTACCTCCCCTCAAGTTTAAGGTATATAAACAAGACCCCATAAATATTAGTTTTCCCCCTCTGACCATGTTAACTTTGACCGATGGATTTCATGGTTAAAAGAAGATAAGTGATGATTTTTTTTTTCTCTAAATATAAGAGGTTATTGATGATTTCTCATGAGAGATGGAGATAGTAACTCATTTAAGGTCATAAGATTGAGACTTAATAAAGATAGTCACAGCTTCTTATAGCAAATAAGGGCAATATTATGGATTATGAGAGAGTTTATGAGATTAGATTATAAGCCAATATTTATTAAAAAAATAAATATTATAATTATATTTTGGTTATGTGTAGGCTATAACCAAACTTGTTCTCAAGAGAAGGTTACATAATTGATAGAGCTTAAAGGTTAGATTGTGTCCTCCAGCTTTTACTATGCTCGTTCAAATGGAATCGGAATATTCACTTTTATGCATTCTTGGACAAACCACAACCATCCAATCATGCATCAGCATTTATACATTCTTTATAAAGAGTTACGGGTGAGGAGAGAGCCCAGCAATGCAATTCCATGTGGGCCCCTTTTCAATCAATAATTGTGCCGATGCCCGAGGGTGGGTCCCGGGGTATTGATTGATATAAATGATAAACGATTTTCCCACCCAAGGTTTGGTGAATCTAACGTTCCCACCCCTAGTTTCATAAATTACAAATTCACTCCGTTAGATTAACACCGTTACTTTTGTCTCAAAATAACCTTATATCTCAAATTTCTCTTAAATAACCTATAGAGGATCTTGGCTAAGCCAAGAATTTGACCTGATTCTAGTACCATTGGACCTCCCCGACACTATCATCAGTATCCCCTTATCCTCTTCACCAAAACCCTAACTTTTTCACCCAATTGCACCTCGACGAGGTGCCAGAATTTGGTTGAAAAGATGCGACAAAATGCGAAAATCTAAAGGAGAGGCAACAACGATCGACAGGCAATTGCGATTGACGATATTGGGGTTTTTGATGGGGGGAAGCCAATGATACTATTGGTGGTATTGGGAATGGTTTCCAATTTCATAACATAACGAAATTTGGGTAAAACACCGATCGGTCAACAATTGAGGGGTTCAATCAGGCAGAGATTTTAGAGGTTTTGATGTAACGGTTAAAGGGATTGTAATGATGGTGTCGAGACAAGTCGACTACACCAACAATAAGGCAGAGTGGCCTGAAATCATCGATGGAGTGAATTTGAAAAGTCAAAGATTATTTTAAAATTTTTCGATAAGATGAATTCGAGAAATAAAAGGTTATTTCAAAATTTTCATCTTTAAAATAACCATTTTACATTTTTAACTATTGAATTAAACAATCATCTATTAATTTAAAAATGAAAATCTATAATTTATAAAACCAAGGGTAAAACCTATAGATTCGCCAAACCTTGGATAGGGACAGCTGTTTACTCAAAATGATATTATCAGAAGGCAGCAGCACATGCATCTGACTACTAGTCTCCCAAATGGACGATCCAGCTTCGAATCAATTTTGGTAGACAGCCTATGTCATGATTTTATTTAGTGGGAACTCTCGCGGCTGAGGCCGTACAAGAGATTTCAGTCAGTTAACAATCGTCGTACAATAATTAGTTAGATATAAACAAATAAATAGTCTCAAGCAGGAGCCTTTTTTATATTTGGGGTCCATAGGTGTTCAAGGGAGAAGAAAAATGCCTGGCTATCCATAAAGATTGGTAAAGCCATTGCCTTAGTCGACATCAACCTTGGAGAAAGGATCCGGAAATTGCTGGCAGGATACCAAACAGAGGTTTTCTAACCAATGGCGTTAACTCAGCTTTGACAACTGTTCCTATGTAACGCCTACACTGATAGTGATGAAGCCAAAATAAAACATTGTACTCAAATACTAAAGCTGAAGAGTATTCACATTGGCCGGCTAGAGATAGATGCCAAGTTATATAATTATCATCTAGATTAAATTTTGCAGTATTATTCTTGCAAGAACGAATAATTAAAGTAAATAACTACTTTGAAAAAGAAGTTTTTTTTTCTAAATTATTGTTCAAGAACCAAAGAAACATAATGGAATCATATGAGATTGTACGAGACTGGAGTAATACTCTTGTATTTCCAATCCATCCAAAATTTAAAGAAATGCAGAGAACCCATTAAAGACTAGACACAGTTTGATTGAAAGATTGTCAGTAATCCACATGCTAAATCATGTTTTGTTCCCCAAAAATTTACATAAAAGTGTAAAACTACCAAATACATGGCACCGTCTCCTGATATTCATGGTTTCAGAACACTGTTCTTTTAAATGACAACTAAGTAACATTACCATATAAAATTTCAAGTTAAACAAGTTCAATCCCTCGCACTTGGATTTTGACTCTAAGTTTAACCATCTAAACAGAAACCTATATGAACAGACTTAAAAAGAAATANCCAACTGATTTAATTTATTACCATCATATCCCTCTTTATATACACTCTAAACTTCTCCCTAGGGTATGCAAGAATTTAGGTTAGAATTAGAATCGACTAGTACCTAGGTTCTGGTTCTCAAAAATTGGAATCGGGAATTGGACTAAATAAAATTTATCAAAATATGGGGACCATTTGGAAATTTGACAATTCAATTGAACAAGCAAAAAATGAAAACACGAAATTCAATTTATGATTTGCAAAAGCCCTAAGTTCAATTCCATATAAAGAACGCCACTGAACTTTGCAAAGCAAAGCCTCTACTGATCAGATGTGTTACATGGTGAGAGCTTGGAAGGCCGAGATGGAGTAAGCAAAGGAATCTGAGGCTGAAATGGGGTCGCTTTTGTTGTTTTGTTATAAGAGGTGGAGGAGGAGATGATACCTGATTTCTCCACAGTTTTTTTAGTGGTGGGGAGGACGGAGAGAAGGAATGAGGGGGTGAAGAAGATGAAGAGGGGTGGCGGAGGAAGAGGACATGAGGGAAGTAGAGGAGGTGGTGGAGGAAGCGACATCAATGGAGGAGAGGAGGAAGGTGGTAGGGTCAAGTCAAAAGTTTTATATATTCAGAATATGTAGAGTGTCGTGAGAGGATTAGAGGATTAGTACATTGGTGACCTCTGAACCGTTGACCACAAAATTTGATTTGTCATCACCCGACTGCGACGCTTCACTTATCAGCTTCACTGTCAATGGAACCAACCCTTGGGAATCACGACTCTGCAAAAGATCAAACAATAAAAGCTCCATAATCGGTCTATTTCGTTACAGTTTCTCAGCAATCAGATAGTAAAACAAAACCCAAAACATGTAAAGAGAGCCTTGACAAGATCTCTCCGTTGATTAACAAATTATCGAGCACTAAATAGTCAACAAACTATGATTAATTCAATGGTTGCGAATTTCATAAACCAAGCAACAAGTATAAGAAATAATAAACACAAACACGTAATTGAAGAGTAAAAACTTACTCTTGCTGGAGAAGGATTGGAATCCGCTGGCTGAGATTGAGACGGCATGAATCCGCCGCCGGAGAAGGCGGAAGTCGCGTCAAATTGGGTGCTTGAAAACATTTCTGAATATCAGAGCGCGAAATTCTTTGAGTTTGAGGAATTAAATTTTATTTTCAAGTTTTCTTCAGGAGATCTTATGAGTATATTTTATGGTTTTAGGGTTTTTCCCGCCAATTGGCTTTACATTTCCCGCGTGTGATTTGGGCTGGGCTACAGTCTACAGACAATAGTTAGTCCAGCCCTTCTTCCTTCATGGGATCTGATAAATCAATCAAGATCTAGTCCAGGATGGATCCTTTTGAATTTTTATTTGGGTTCAAATTTCATAGTAAATTTATGAATAACTAATATTAAGTATTTTTTAGTAAATTCTAAAAATTGTTTAGTTTTAGGTTTCACTGTCTTGGACTATTGCCACACATTTGAATAT